CTTTTGCGTTGTTGTCGCTTTTCTTCACTCCTGTTGCTGTCTCCCTTTTTCGCTGCTTCTGTTGTGGATTTTGTTTTTTCTCCTCTTTTGTGCAGGCTGCAGTCGAAAAAATTAACTTGAATTTTTGCAGGCACACTCTGACACTGCAAGTGCAATAAATTGTATTATTATGCTTATTGGCAATAAATAAATAAATGTGTGTATCCCATGTACCGCATCCCGCACTCCACAATGGCCATCTAAAACCATTTCGATTCCGGTTTGGCGCAATATTGCGCACAAGTGAAACTATCGACACAAGAACCATTTTCTGTTTTTCTGTTGCTCATATCCTGTTCGAGTAGTACCCCAGGGTATACTCTGCTTGAAACAGGTGGAGGAAGCCCAATCAAGGCCCCACAATCCATTAAAAAAAGATTTAGTGCCGAAGAAAAAGGAACATTTATTGGAATCTCTAAAGAGTTACCATTAAATCTGCCATCTATCTGCATCATATTGTAGGGTATCTTGCAGTTCTTTCGAGGCAATGCCTCGAATGCCTTTCTATTTATTTGTTTTGGGTAATTGTGGGGGAACCCGCACTACTCACTCGAACAACCATCCAACCATTAAGGAGTACACAAATAATAGTTTTCTGATGAATAGAGCTTGTATATTTAGCATATTTATTTATTTATGTGCTTTTGTTGGGTGGGGAATGGTGGCAGGTAATGATGGATTATTCCCAGGGAATCACCAATTAAATTAACGTTCAAAGAGAACGGGGTTAGATTGACTAAATATTTTAACCTCTCTCCGATAGATATATTTATTATTTAATCCAATCGAATATTTCTTTTATTACATTTTTCCCATGTCATTCGATATGCCAGCCTCCAAACTCAGCCCCAACCCCAATCCCAAAAGCCGTAGTGTCTCGGATACCAAAAGCTGCAATTTCATTCGCTCACTTTCCACCGATTAATGTCTGTTAAAAATGTTCAAGCTTTTTTATACAAGAAAAAAAGCAGTGCTCAATAAGTGAATTCCCCTTTGAGGGGGCAACCCACCCACACACAAAAATTCACTTTTTTCTTGCTTACCAAACCGCCCACAAATCACACAAGAAATGTCGGTCCGAGGCACATCAAAAATAGGCCAATAACCAAAATGCCATAAACAATTACAAGCTCAAGTTGTTGTTGCTGTTGGTGTTGGTGTTGGTGTAATTGTTGTTAAGCAGACAGCGGAGCAGCTTCTACTGCTTTCGGAAATGAATGCTACGAAAATTGTAAACAAACTTCGAACGGCAACAATAAAACAAAACTCCTCCGATGACGCCGCCTTATCCACCAGTGAAACATAAAACCCAAGCAAGCTCGAAAAATAAAAAGTGTTAAGAAAAAGTGCACGAGAGTCAATCGAAGATGAAATGCCCTTTAATTTCGAGGATATTTGAAAAGAAATTATCTTCTTAGGGAAATCAAAGGGAAAACCAAATGTAAATGTTTAATGCTGATCATTAATACCTATTATAGTGCTCTGTGTGACAGAATCGTAGCACCCTCGGGCAAAGGGTATTTGTTTATTGTAAACCCACTTGCAGGCGGCACTCGCATATCAGCTTTATATGGCAACAAACTAATCATACCTACAACAACAACCACAAAACAACAACAGACTGACGATGGCTCGTACCTACATTGACCTACTCTTGCTGCCACGGCAAATGCTATGCTGTGCTGTCTGTCCGTCTGTCTGTCCGTTTGTCCGGAATTGTGATGTAACTGTCCCAAAATGCCGCGCACATATCAACGAGCAGCAGTTCAAGTCCAAATTTCTGGCGGTACTAGGGACACCGTCGCAGTCGCCGTTGCTGTCGCTGGAAGTGATTCAAAATTCAACGAAAAGAAATAGCAAAAGGCAAAGCAACAAAAACATGCACATGACTTTACCGTTAATTTCTTTGACATGTCTATGCGTGCCTCTGTGTGTGTGTGTGTTGGTTTGCCAATTTCGCTTTGTTTTCTCGTAATATATTTAATTTTGTGTTGTTTTTTATATGTATTTTTTATATATTTTTATCTAGTGTGTTTTGTTGGCTTTTTGGTGGGGTTTCTTGTATTGTTGCTGTTGTTGCTGTCTTTATTAGACCGCATTTTTAGAGGTCAGCGCACATTTGGCGCAGCATTGCAATGGGTTGTAGGTTTTTTCCTTCTTTTTTTTGCTGTGTGTTTTCTGTTTGTTTATGCACCATTAAAGTTGAACGTTCGTCTGTGGGCTCTATGATTGCCCCTGGGTCCCACTGTACTAGTACAGTGAAAGCTCTTGCCAGGCAAACAGCAAAAAGAGAATGGACTGGGTGGTGGTCTGCTTTAATGAGCCCCTAAATTGCTTAGCTTGTGGAGGGAAGGCGCACCCCAGGCGCACATAGGGGTACAATTCCTTGGGTTTCCCCTGAAAATCTGTTCTCATCGCACACCGCTGCGTATGTGCAATATGAGTACTTCGGCATTACTCATAAGCGTAGTATGTCGACAGGAAGTAATCGCACACGTTTCGTACGTGAATGCCTGCCACAAACCAATTGTAATGGAATCATATATCATTGTGTATATTCTTTTACAATTAAATTTCCTTTAAATTCGCGTAAATCAGGACCTGAAACAGAACTTGCACGTGCATTTATTTAAGTGTGGCATTTCGTAAGCATTTCCCTGTTCAAATGTAATCATTGAGAGCATTTTTGGCTCAATCTTACGCACTTACCGTGTGCGGACACCTGCACTCAATTGCGCATACGCAACGTATGCCACAGACAAAAACACGTGAGACCTGGCACCACCCGTTGCGGATCCAAACGACAAACTAAAATATAACAATCAAGAAACACTACAGACAGAGAACATTATGACTATGGGTTACCCCCTACATGTGGAAACAAGAAGATAATTATCAAATGGAGTTAGATTGGACAAGAATAGAATGGAATGTGCATAGTAATATGTGCTCAATATACCCCTTGTTCACCGAGATTACAGGGTACAAGGCATACGTAAAATATGGCGGCAAGTGACGGGCATTTCCGACAGCCTCTCGACTTCGACAAGCGATTAAAACTTGAGTAAATAGAGAGAGCAGGAAAACAGAAAGGAAATGCTCAACTCGCCGGGACAAACAGAATGTAAAAACTCGGCAAAAATTATATGTACTCGTATTTATAATTTCCGTTAAAAAGCGTCGAGAGAACTGTAGATTTTGGGTCTGCAACAGAAGGGGGTGGTGTGTGTGTGGTTGTGTTTGTGTTTGTGTGTGGGCTGGGCTGGGAATTGCAGGCAGGCGCACAGCTGTTTTGTTGCCGCGCGATTTCCGCGGGGTGCACCTTCTATGCCTCTCCTTCCCTACGCTTTTTTTTGTGGGTAAATACGCTTTTGTGCCATATTTTATTTTACTTATTAATATTTCTGTGCTGCGGCTTTTGAGTTTATTTTGTTTTTTTGTTCATGTTTTTACATGCTTCTCATTCACCCACAACGGAATGAACGGAATAAGCGGAGCGCTACGGCGCGGTGCGGGCGGGCAGGCATCAAAACGAGACGATGTCGGTCGTCAGTATTTAAAAAGCTGTAAAAGGCACACAAACACAGACACACTCAAAGAGAGAGAGAGAGAGAGAGAGAGAGAGACGTACAACATGCAATAATGCAGCAAGCAAAGCATAAATTGTAAACTCGTCGTCGCTTCCCTCCCTTCTTCTCCCTCTTCTGCTCCTCCTCCTCCACCACCACTAACAGCAACAGCAGAGCCGACAAGCCTTGACCTGATTTCTCTTCCTCTCTTGCTGCCAATTGTGTGCCTCTGTGTGTGTGTGTGCGAGTGAGTGTATGCGCGAGTGTGTGCTGCTTGCAAGCTTCATTGCGCTGCCAGCTTTGACGCTCGCTCGCTGCGGCCCGCCTGCACTTTGCATTTGCCAGAGCGAGACAGCAGTGATGGAATGGGCCGCGCTCTGCCGTTGCCGTTGCCGTTGCCGTCGCTGTCGCAGTGTGTGAACAGCTTGACATTCAATGCAATTTTTTCGCTTTTTTTTGTTGCTGCGGCTGCTGCTTCTGCTGCTGCTGCATGAAATAAGTGAAAATGCACTTTTACTTTTTAGCAACAACAATTACAATAAGACAGAGGGAGAGAGAGATGGAGAGAGAGAGACAGTGGCAGTGCCCGTGCGAGTGCGAGTGAGCTAGAGAAATTGCATTGCAAAGGAAAGTGAGAAGACAATTTTTTCTTGCTTTTCTTTTGCCTCTGCCTCTGTCTCTGCCTCTGTCTCTGCCTCTGTCCCTGCGGTCTTCCTCTTAATTTTCTGCAGCTTTTAACGGTTGTTGCTGCGAGTTCATGGCTCCACAAATTGGGGCATTTCAATTGTTGTTTGCCGTTTGTCATTTGTTGCTATTTGTTGGTGCTGTTGCTATTCCACTCTACTTCATTTTATTTCATTTTCCATTCCACTCTTTGTTGCTTTTTCATCTTTCATTTTACCAGCCCCCTCCTCCTGCCAGCAATATTTCATCCAACATGACATTTCTATGAAATTATGATGCGAATTTTTGCGTATTATTAGCCCCTTGAAAACAGACATTTTGACAGCAGTGAAGAGAGGGCTGGGTGGTGATGTTGGGCAGGGAGAGTGCAGTGTGAAGATTTATGCGAGCGCGGGTGAGGTTAGGCAGTCCATTGATTGAGCGGCAACGGTGAATGCTGCACTCCAGGGCTAAAAGAGTGATTAAGAAATCTAGTTAAGAGGTGCTAATGACATTCAAGTTCAAGAGATTTGTAAATGGAAACACTCTAAAGGGTAGTTCTGGAACAATCTGATACGATTTTAAATGCAGAGCTATCAGACTGCTGGAAGAATCGAATTAAAGTATTTTAAAGCAACTCTCCCTACATCATCTACTAGATAACATTTAAGAAATAGAAACCAATCGAAACCCTTTTTCAAGAACATTTTATTCCCTTTTCTCTTGCAGATACCGAAATTCCTATTGTCAAACAATCGACGAGTCCAGCACCACAACAGCAACAACAGCAGCAGCAGCAACAACACCAGCAACAGCAGCAACAGATCCTGCAGCAGCAGCAGCAACACCAGCAGCAGCAGCAGCAGCACAACGGAAGCTCCTTTGCTGGAGCCACCACTCTGCTGCACATTAAGACGGAGCAGAACCCGTTGCTCACGCCGCTCCAGCAGCAGCAGCATAGCTTACATGGTGGTGCAACGGGCGGTGGCACCAATGGTGGTGGCAATAACGGGAACAACAACAACAACAACAACAACAACAACAGTGCACACCAGCAGCAGCAACAACCACTGGCCATACCGCACCGGCCCCTGCTGCACAATCTGCTCAGCGGCGGCGCCATCCACAATCCACATCACAGGAACTACACGACGGCCACAACAGGTGAGTGGAAGAGGCAGCAAGGTGAACCACTCACTGCACACGCCCTCGAATCGACTCGATCCGAGCCTCATACACATACCTCTATATCGATTGCTAATTGCCTTTTTCTTCTACTTCTTCTTTGTCATCGTCCTCGTCCTCGTCCTCGTCTGTGCCGAATTATGCAGGTTCATTTCCGCCCAGTCCCGCGGATAGCGGCGTGTCCGATGTGGACAGCTCTAGTTCCGGCGGCCAGCCCTGCGCCGACGAGCTGAAGGCGCGCCTGGGCATGCCCACTGCCACGTCAGCATCGGCAGCGGCCGCAGCAGCAGCAGCCGCAGCGGCAGCGGCACACCTCCACACGGGCACCTTTCTGCATCCGAATTTATACCAGAACAATGCGGCGAATTCGCTGAGGAACATATGGAATCGCAGTGTTGGGGGTGAGTAGTACTACAATGTGGCACACCGTGGTCAGGTTGCAGGGACAAAGGTTCACACAGTTCATGATGATAGAAGGACATTTGCAGTTAATGGAAACTGTGCACGAAATATAGCCCAAATTGGGGAACTATGGAATGACTACCTCGACAGACGTACTATCTATCCATGGTTCATGATAGATGATTGAGAGATATCTGTGACTTGTAGATTAGATCCTCGCCGCTCAATTAAACATCGAAGCCTCTCTCTGTGAATCTCTGTGGCATGGCACGGATAATTCCCTGCTAATCCACCTTCCTACCGTCATGGAATGGGTGCCAACGCTAAGCTCTTTTATTTTGTTCGAAAAATGTCAAGCAGGGGGCGAGAGCAAACAACTTACTTACACACAGGCAAACATGTACGCAGAGAGCAATCAATTGCAATGAGAATGTGTTGCACTCGCTGCTTTTATGCTCTCTCTCTCTCTCTCTCTCTTTGCTTGTGTGTGTTTGTGTGCTTTGCTGTATACAAATCTGTGGTCATCGACACATTGCCTTTGCGCAAATTGTGAAGGTCACAACGACAACGACAACGGCAACGGCAACGACAGCCAAAGCAACAGCAGAGACAGAGGCAGCAGAGGCAGCAGAGGCACCACCAGCAGCAGGCAGCAGGCAGCAGACAGCGAAAATGTGGCAATAATGGGGGGCTCTCTTTGGCTCTCAGAGAGCGCCGCAAATGCACCGTCTCCACTCTCTTGGCGGCAGAAACGAAACGAAACGAAACGAACGAAGACACACACGAAAGCGTGCGTTGCTCTCTGACGTACGTGTCGGTGTGTGTGTTGGGGAGAGCAGCAACGATACAGAGAGAGGGAGAGAGAGAGAGAGAGAGCGTCGTGCTGCTGTTGCTCACTTTTGTTTTTATTCAACACCCAGTGCGACCCCCCTGCGACCGATCCCGACAACTGATGGGGGGAATTGGGCAACGTTAACGTCGCATGCGAGAGCGAGAGGCACTGCGGCAACAACGCCGGATGTAACAAAAAAAACACTAAACTTAGTAAAAAGCAAACCAAATGATACCTGTGCACAGTGGGACAGATTAGCCTTTTAAATGAAGAGAAATTTAAACTGCAACTAACATTTTTTCGATCTCTGTTTACCCTTTGCAGTGCCCGACAACTATTATGGCAGCAGTGGAGGCGGTAGCGGCGGTGGCGTCGGCAATCCAGGAGCGCCCGGAGCTCCCCAGACCCCCAGCTACCTGACAACGTCCTACTTCAACGCACCGACGCAGCAGCAGCGCAGCTCTGGCGTCAACGGCTATCATTCCCTGCACCAGCAGCAGCAGCAGCAGCAGCAAACGCAGCAGCATCAATCCCAGCAGCAGCAGCAGCAGCAGCAGCAACAAGCGTACGCGCAGCAGCAGCAGCAGCAGCATCCGCACTCGCAGCTGGCGCCTCCCTCGCATCCACATCCACACCAAGCGCAGCAGCAGCACACGCATTCCAGCATCGCCAATGCAGCGGCGGCCTCCGTTGTGAGCAGCAGCAGCAGCGCGGTGGCAGCGGCCGCCATGCTCAGCGCAAGTGCAGCGGCGGCGGCCGCGGCCGCCTCACAGAGCGTCATCCAACCGGCGACGTCGAGCGTCAGCTATGATCTCTCCTACATGCTGGAGCTGGGCGGCTTCCAGCAGCGGAAGGCGAAGAAGCCGCGCAAGCCGAAGCTGGAGATGGGCGTGAAGCGGCGCAGCCGGGAGGGCTCCACCACCTACCTGTGGGAGTTCCTGCTGAAGCTGCTCCAGGATCGCGAGTACTGTCCGCGCTTCATCAAGTGGACGAACCGGGAGAAGGGTGTCTTCAAGCTGGTCGACTCGAAGGCGGTCTCCCGCCTCTGGGGCATGCACAAGAACAAGCCGGACATGAACTACGAGACGATGGGCCGTGCCCTGCGCTACTACTACCAGCGCGGCATCCTGGCGAAGGTGGATGGCCAGCGGCTGGTCTACCAGTTTGTCGATGTGCCCAAGGATATAGTCGAGATCGACTGCAATGGCGTGTGAGAGAGGAGAGGTGAGGAGAGGAGAGGCGGCTGTAAATAGATGTAATCCGAGATCGGTTCAGATCGGATCACTTTCAGATCGATGGCAATATGTTCTGGGGAACGTAATAACCGTAATAACCGGCTAGCGGCAATAGTAGCATTGGGATCGATCCGATTGGGATCGGATCGGATCGGGGCTACGCGAAGGAGGGAAGTGATGGATTTCCTTGTATATTGTATGTGTTGAGTTTCTTCGTGGAAGAGTATAAATTACATAGATGATAGTCCCAAAAATATACCCCAGAATTATAGATGTACACCCTGTAGCCCTGGTCCACAGACACAGACCCAAGCACCCAGAAACAGACACACAGAGACCCTATACATAGGACCTGCATTCAAACATACATAAATAATGATCTATTCATTGGCGTTAGTGTTGTACTTGTAACTTTAACTTTAACTGTAGTTCTAACTGTACGATTAATTAATGAATATTGTTATTATTGGTTATTCTATTATTATCACTATTATTAATATTATGATTATTATTATTGCGGATGGAATGGACCGACTCTTACTGATATACGATCGATACGAGTACGAGTGGTGTATATGGGTACGTGGACGCATAGCTGCAAGAAATTCTCTATCTCTATCCATCTATATGGCTCTGTATATGAGTATATTTTATGTATTGTATCTGCCCCTAGCCTAATATCAACTTTCAACTGCCCCCCCCAGCCCCCGCTGCCCGAGGACAGGACAGGCACTGATCGGGATATGGGATGTACATATCTGTGTCCTCTGTGCTCTGTGCCTGTCCTTCGGCTAATTGTTTTTGTTGCTTATTTTATAAAAAGAAGAAGGAAAGAAATTTATTATTTCATAGTTATAGCTATTTCTACGCGTATGTATATTTAGGTTATTTATTTAAGTTTTTCTCCTTACCCCCTGCTTACCCACCATTTAAAATCCTACCACGCCACACTTCCTACTTCCTAACTGGAGCTACAGTAAACAAACCCTGCCCCGTCTGCACAAACTGGTGGTCTATACTTTCTTGTAATTATTATTTCATAAGTTTCGTATAATTGTACACAAAAAACTCACAGCAAACAAAAATATGAAAAGCAAGAGCACGGCAAAGCTAACAGGTAGCTAACATTTCAGGGGCTCCCTGGAGCCCATGGAACCCGCACTCTGTGAGCAATCATCGTTTAAGCAGTCCTAGAACAGCAAAACCAAACTCAACAAAAACTCTTTCGATCTGAAGTTTAATATATTTATAAAGCGTAAAACTAAACGTAAAAGTTAAACTTAACTTCTGTATTCTTGTAAACGTCACACTGCCACAAAAACCGAGACAAACAGAATCAAGATTTTGCCTAAAAGTTTCAACCACTGTAAATGCAACAGCAACTGCAACAGCAATCCTCAATGCAACACACTGCAACACCCTTTTACAACAATTTCAAACACTGCCCAAACGAGCAATCTCTTTCAAAAATGCAAACATTAATAAGAGGGAGAGAATGGAGACCAACTCCTAGTTCTTTAATCTACATCTCTATATACTAGTTGCGTTCTCTAAGTACCTTTATCTATTATTATTATTATTATTATGCTAACGAGTATGTGTACGTGGAGTGAAGATGAGAAATTTTACAATATATCTTTCATTTTGTTTATGATGATTGATTGGTTAATTGATGATTGATGATTGATGATTGAATGCTTGGATGATGCAAATAAACAAAGTGAGTCTTGAGTTCAACTCTGTTCATTGTAAACATTTTTTATGATTATTTTTTTATTTTTAAATAAAATTATTATTTCAATTTCTGCATGCGTTTTATTTACACCCTACGTTTGACACCCAAACGAGAAACGAGAAACGAGAAACGAGATAAAACACCCCAGAAAAAGATAAAGGAGCGAAGAGAGTAGAACAGTAAGCAAACGATATGATACAAATATATGGAACCCGCTACAAATTTGGAATCTAGATATACCTCCCATGACAAAAGTGCATAAAGTTACATAAGTTATAAAATATATTCAAAGTCTATATAGGTTAAGCGATATTTACGAACGATTCTATTGAGCAGATCGCATATTTTAGATAAAATCTGATTGGTGTACGATGGACACACGAAACGACACCACTTCACGAGGTCTCAGTTTATGAGGTTTCCCCACAGATCATGGATTTATAATTAAACATGTCTATGTCTATTTACTAGATTAAGTCATCGCATCTACCATTAGCCATGCGAACAGTACATCAGTTATTAGTTAGTTGTTAGCGGATAAATATTCCCATGTTATAAGGATGCGACGTACATAAATATGTAAATGTTAAGCACACACCGACACAGAATCGAATAGAACAATATAAATTCAAAGATTATCGACTCAAGTACAACGAAATCAGTAAACACGAATCTGAGCCACTCACTCCCCTGAAGGACGCAGCTTTAAACCCACTCCAAGATAGGACTTCCTCATTAAACATGAAACCATTCCTCAAGATTTTCAACAGAAACCCGGGAATATTTCTACAAGTACACATGCCTAGCACGATAATTGTAAATATATTTAAACAACTTCTGGACCTCATGTTTCCACTCGAATATTAACGTAAAGTATATACATATACCAATTATTTGTTGAATTGGATAACCCCGAATGCTGGATAAGACCAACTAAATTAATTCATAACGAAAAGCGCAGCCCTTGAGCGCGATTTCTTAACTAGACTAAGGCGAAAACCCGAACAAACAAATGCAAATATCTAGTTTTAAAGCCGAGCGGAGGATAATTTGGAGACAACTGAACGGAATTTGTGTTGTCTGAAGGCACACGGATTGGCACGGGATTAGGAAAATATGTTGAATGGTTTAAAGTTAGTCGCAATTAGGTTATGTTGTAGATAACCAACCTAAACTTAAGTGTTTTACACGTTTATTTGACTTTTGGTTTATGCATTGTACATTTAACAGACACTTTTTGAAATGTCTGCAAAGAGAAATCAGCTAAAGCCAGCCAAAACATATAATATACACACAAGTATGTGTGTATTTATGTATTTCTTATAAGAGAACGAACGTTGGGATCCGTAATATGGTATGTAGGTGAATTTTAGAAGATAGTGGGAGAGGCAATGAAGGTTTAGTCTTAATTTTATAAGGATAAACGAAAGAAGATCCAAAAACGCAAGCTAGCATAATTATTTACTGTTACGACATAAGAATTTTAAGATTTTTAGCTAAATTTTGTATATTTTAATCTACAAACCATACAAAAAAATATATATATATTATCTGTTTTATAAATAACAATAAAACGAAAAGTGTATGTTTTTGATTTGGATTAGCAGGCCATAATATTTAACGTAATAATACGTTATTCTTCAAACTGATGATAAATGGCCCTATGCCAGCCAAATTAATTGCCCACAACTTTAATAAGTACTCAACGGGTTGGTTTGAATTTCAATTTCACAAAAAGTATGTAAATTGACATGTAGAGTATGCCATATTTAAAGAATATCGAAATTTCACTTATCGCAGAAAAGTACCGATATCTTTGGTATTTGGCACACATGTATGTATCGATAGTTGCCGAGCACGTTTGGGACCAAATTGTCGAAGATTCAACGAAGTTCAGGTGAAATATATCGTGGTAGTTCCTGTTGTGCAGGTAGAGTACAGTAAAACAGTATTATTTTCCTCCGCTTAGCCCAACTTGCTCGACTGTATAAATAGAGGGGGCATAGTGGGCTAAGTTCGATCACTCACTCGTGACATTTGACACATAGGTATATTTCATCATTTGTTTGGTATATTACAGTATATTTTTGCAGTGCTGCCACACTGGGTTCTACGTTTGTGTGCGTGTGTGAATACATTTTTTCTGCAAATTTTGTCATTGTGATCACATTTTTGTGATGCGTCGTAGAATAAATAAAGTGCAGTAAAGAAATCGTGATGGTGTTTGTGGCCAACGCGACGGAAATTGCAATACAAATAACTATGAATTGAAACGAAAGTTGCATAACACGTCGCTGTCGCGGTAGTGTCCCGCAGTCGCAATTTCCAGAAAACCACACCACACACACGCGCGCGGACACGCACACGCACACAACAGCAGACAAGAGCAGCGCGGCGGAAAAGTGTAAAAAACTGTAGCCGCAACAGCTAATCGCAGTCGAATCGAATGTGCATTCCGCGTCTCACATAGCCAATGTGCTGTGGCAGCCGCAGCGAGTGCTCCCCGTTCCCTATTCCGCCTCCCCGCCACCCACGCCATCACCACCAGCACCAACACTAACGCACTCGCCTCGTACCACACAGCCGACAAAGAAAGAGCGCTCTGCTTCTTCGTACAGTTCCTACGACGGCAGCCAGCGCTTGAGTCAGCATAGCAAGAGTGAGTGAGAGAGAGAGAGAAAGAGAGAAAGAGGAAGAGTAATCAGAGGAGAAATCCGGGAGCAAGCAGAATCTGTGCGATCCAACTGCGGGAGCGCGCAATAAAGAGGCTTGCATGTGAAACTAAACAAAGGAAGGGGCAAAGCAATCAGCAACGGCAGCGGCGGCGGCGGCAATGAGTCTCATGGCCACGCCAATGCCCCCGGGCAGCTCGGCGAGTGCAGGATCATCCGGCTCAGCCAGTGCAACGCCCGGAGCCAGCAGCAGTAACAGCGGCAGCAGTAACAACAATCTGCCATTCGAGAAGGACAAGATCTGGTACTTCAGCAATGAGCAGTTGACCAACTCGCCCAGTCGTCGATGTGGCATCAAAGGCGACGACGAGCTCCAGTACAGGCAGATGACCGCCTACCTGATACAGGAGATGGGACAGCGGCTGCAGGTGTCCCAGCTGTGCATCAATACGGCCATCGTGTATATGCATCGATTCTATGCGTTCCATTCATTCACCCACTTCCATCGCAACTCCATGGCATCGGCGAGCCTATTTCTGGCAGCCAAGGTTGAGGAGCAGCCCCGCAAACTGGAGCATGTGATACGAGCCGCCAACAAGTGCCTGCCACCGACCACCGAGCAAAACTATGCCGATCTCGCCCAGGAGCTCGTCTTCAACGAGAACGTGCTGCTGCAGACGCTCGGCTTTGATGTGGCCATCGATCACCCGCACACGCATGTAGTGCGCACGTGCCAGCTGGTCAAAGGTAGGCACCAATCTGCTGTAAAATATATCCCAAAATCCCAAATGATGTGCAAATAGAGCGATTTGTGAATTGATTACTGTGATATATTTTAGCGTGCAAGGATCTGGCGCAGACCTCCTACTTTCTGGCCTCAAACAGGTATGGCTCAACACTCTGGTGACCCAATCCTTGATCCAATCTCTGTCCCCACAATCCTCAACAGTAAAAATGTATATGCGAATGTTCGTGTGTGTGCGTGTGTGGTGGTGGTGTGCTATAGTCGTGTCCATTCTTGCAACGAGTGGGAGCAGAGTCAAGCCATGATTCGGCTACCTGCTTAGGTAATAGTCAAAACAAAAGGAACAAAGTACGGACCCGACCCTAGTTGAACATAAATGACATTTATTTGCCACTCCAGGGACAGTTGTTGTCTCGGGTCCGACTAATCCGCTAAAATCCCACGAATTTACACACATCTTGTTAACACATTTTGACCAGAAACAGAACCATTTTATGACATTTTATGTTATGCCGAGGTAATTTGTCGGATTTCTTAGCTAAATTATTGGACCGACCATCCATCGATTTACCTTGGGTTTTTTCCTGCAACTAAAATGTAACTGGAACTGAAAGAAAAATACAAAATAAAGAAAGGGGACACCCTGCGGAAATACGAAGAATACTACTAGACTTTTAGTTATTTGTTTAAACTGTGGGGGGATACGGGAGTAGATGGCTCAAATGTGATACCCACCTGCGCGCAGACACACAAACACATGAAAACATACATACACAGCCTTCGATTTGCCACTTAATTTCACTAAAATACCATCCTGGAAACAGCCTGCACCTGACCTCGATGTGCCTGCAATATCGACCCACTGTGGTGGCATGTTTCTGCATTTACTTGGCCTGCAAATGGTCGCGATGGGAGATCCCGCAGTCGACCGAGGGCAAGCACTGGTTCTACTATGTGGACAAGAGCGTGTCGCTGGACCTGCTCAAGCAGCTGACTGAAGAGTTTATTGCCATCTATGAGAAGAGCCCCGCCCGCCTCAAGTCCAAGCTGAACTCGATCAAGGCGATCGCCCAGGGAGCCAGCAATCGGACGGCATCGAAGGACAACAAGCCCAAGGAAGACTGGAAGATGAGCGAGATGATGAAGGGCTATCATTCGAACATTGAGCCGCCGCCAGAGCTGGCCATGAATGGCAACGAAAGTCGCGATCGGGACCGAGATCGGGAAAGAGAGCGCGAACGGGAACGGGAAAGAGAGCGGGAGCAGTCGACGCTTTTGCCGCCGCCAGCAATGGTGCCGCAGCAGAGGCGACCAGATGGCAGCCATCAGCGTTCATCTTCCGCAAGCAATGTCCCTCTCAGCTCCTCCTCATCATCATCATCGTCGTCCGCTAGCCACAACAAGTTGCCAAATTACGCGGGTGGCCTGCCACCCGATGGTCATCCAGGTGAGTAGACAACTGACAGTGCATCTCCCAGGAGAGCGAAGAACTCAACTCGATTTCTACTTATAGATCACAAGTCGAAGCAGCAGGGCTACAACAACCGCTTGCCCTCCGGCCACCAACGAAGCAGTGGCAGCCTGGGCGCCACGGCAAGCGGGAGTAGTGGCAGCCAAAGGAATAGCTCCAGCTCGTCGTCCAGCCAGCAGCAGCAACCCGGCCGTCCGCCCATGCCCGTGGACTATCACAAGTCGCGCGGTATGCCGCCGGTCGGTGTGGGTATTCCTCCACATGGTGCACACAAAATGACTTCGAGTGCGAAGCCCCAGTCGCAGCAGCCTCCGCCAACGCATCCATCTGCCTCCAACTCATCTGCAGCGGGCCTTTCCTCAAAGGACAAGTCGCAAAGCAGCAAGATGTACCCGAATGGGCCGCCATCCTATAGTAACAGTGCCCCCCCCAATCCCTTGATGTCACGCGGAAGCGGAGGCGGTGGCTATCCGGGCGGCAACAACGGGGCACAGCCCCAGCCCCCAGCTGGCTATGGTAGCAGCCATCGAAGCAGCAAATCCGGCTCCACCGTCCACGGCATGCCGCCATTCGAGCAGCAGCTGCCCTATCCCCAGAGCCAGGGCTACAGTCACATGCAGCAGCCACAGCAACAGCAGCAGCAGCTTTCCTTGGAAGCGCCTCCCCAGGCCTCGTCGCAGGCCAAGAACAATTCCCTGTTCAGTCCCGAATGGAGCGATATCAAGAAGGACCCACAAAGCCAGCCCTTCAATGGCCTCCTGCCGCCTCCGGCTCCACACGGCCACGACTTCAAGCTAAACAATCATCCGCGCGACAAGGACAGCCCCAAGAAGGATCGCCTCACGCCCACCAAGAAGGACAAACATCGTCCCGTGATGCCCATGTCCAGCAGCGGGTTACCCAATGCGTCGTCCAAGAATGTCGCCATGATGCCGCCCCACAAGAAGCCGCAGCTGCCGCACGGAGGGGAACTGCTGGCCAATCCCAATGAGATTCGCGATGTCGGCAATCTGAAACGGGCCAACGAAATCTCAGGCAGTCAGTACGGACTGAACAAGCTGGACGACCTGGACGGCAGCAGTCTGCCGCGCGAGAAGCTCCGCAAGCTGGACAACAGCAGCAGCCTGCCCGCATATCCCAGCTACGAGGAGAAACACACGCCCCTGAACATGTCAAATGGCATCGAGACCACTCCGGATCTGGTGCGCAGCCTGCTCAAGGAGAGTCTCTGTCCGTCGAATGTGTCGCTGCTGAAGCCGGATGCCCTCACCATGCCAGGACTGAAGCCGCCAGCGGAACTGCTAGAGCCCATGCCATCGCCGGCGACCATTAAAAAGGAGCCGCTGGTGGGCAGCTTGAGTGCCGTGTCCAAACTCATAATCCCCACTACCCCGATGGAGGTGGACGCGCTCACTAAACTGGGCGGCGGCGACTTCAAGGATGACAGCAGCAGCAAGTCGGAGAAGAAAAAGAAGAAGGACAAGCATAAACATAAGGAGAAGGACAAGTCCAAGGACAAGTCGGATAAGGAGGAGCGCAAGAAGCACAAGAAGGACAAGCAGAAGGATCGCAGTGGCAAGGACAGCTCGCTGGCCAACGACTCCCTCAAAATGGTGATCAAGACCAGCGCTCCGACGAATCCCAACGGCGGCACAGCGGCTCCTCTTAAGCTTAAGATTAGCAAGAACAAAGTGGAGCCGAGCAACTACTCTGCGGCTGCCGGATTGGCGGTGGCCCCAGGCTATGGCCTGCCGCAAGCGGTGGCCACGACATCAGCTTCATCCGCGGCGAGTTTGAATTTAATGACAGCGGCACTTGCTCCTGGATTGCCTCCATTTGCCAGCGGCTATAGCACGGGCTCCTCGGGCGGCAGCAGTAGCAGCGGCAGCAACAAGAAGAAGCACAGCGAACGCGACCGGGACAAGGAGAGCAAAAAGAACAAGGGTCAGGGTCAGGATTATTCGAAATACAATGGAGCTGTCGGTGCAGGCATGGGTGGTGGCGTTGGCGTTGGTGGCGGCGTATTTGCGCCTCTCAGCGGTGCAGGCGCCGCACCCAACATCTCCACGGCGATGAGCCTGGCCTCGAGCATGCCGATGACCACCACCACATCCTCCATGCTGATGACGTCCACGAATGCTGTACTCCCAATCGGCCTGCCACCGCCCGCGCTGCCAGTCTACGGCAAGAAGTAGCATCAGGAGATAGAGGATGAGAAGAGGCAGGAACTGCCACAGGATGAGGATGAGGAAAAAGAGGAGAGGAGACACGAGGAGCTCCCAGTTTATCCATAAGTCGCACTTTTGATAATTGTATAGAGACCCCGTAAGCTGATGGTAGATTTAGTCGTTAGAATTGTTGGTGAGATGCAGATTCAGATGCATTAGTGGCCTAAGTTATTATTGATTCATTTTAGTTAAGCAAAACGTGAAAAACAAAATCATTAAACCACAAAATTCACAAACCCCGAAGATCGAATTCGAATCAAGTCGAAAACGAAGATGAAGAAGACGAAATCGGAGATGCAATTCGAAGAGACGCAAAACGGCTGATCTGATTCTGACCGATTCTCCAGTTGGAGAATATTAATCTATAACTCAAAACTCAATGAGCGAAAACTTTTGTACAGCATTAATTAATTTATAATTATACTACATTACATACAGTTACACACCCACACGCACACAGAAAACACCCACACACACACACCACACATAAAGTAGTTGTAAACGAGTTGTTGACATCGGAATCGGACTTAGAAATCCAAGAATTGGATAAATATTAAGAGGAAAAAAAACATAGACAGACGTAAACAGAAATAGACACCCATCGTACATATAGAGAAGTACCTTCCCTAGCGAGGGTTTCTCCATTAGTTGCAACCACAACACGGCCGTCTAGCATTTAAGTTAGCAAATCAATACCACAGAAAACACACCCTATCTGATGTACATAGCCACACCACACCACACCACACACACAATTGAATACACAAAACGAGAGAGAGACACTCAAAAGATATATATATAGGACCGACTTCCGCTTAGCAAATATACAATATATAGTACGGCCCCCCAACTAATTACAGGCCGCTGCAGGAGGACTTTTGGAGATTCAGAATAATCCACACCGAACAGAGTAGAAATACTAGCAGAAGGAGGAGGAGAGAATAGAGCAGAGAAGTGAAGTTAAGTGAAAAGATAAAGCCAGCGCTTTGATTCAAAATTGAAGACGCCAAACTACATAATAAATTATTGAATTAAATCATAATTGCTACGCGTAAAAGTGGATGATGATGCAAGTGAATTCAAATGCAGAGAGGTTATTGTTTAGTTAGCAAAGTTTTTCTATACCCAGCCAGCCCCGACCAATTCCGAATTCCAACTTTGTTTTCCATATATGTACGCCCCAAAACCCCCAATAGCAATACTGACAGCATTGTCTTTCAGTGCTTTTCAATGAATAGAATTAAGCTTAACCAATACCAATACCAATTTGATCGTTTCGGCGGTGGATAATATGTTTAAAAGGTCGCCCGAAACGTTGACGTAGCTTTCATTTGTTTTTTTAATTTATTTTTAAAGCTAGCATTACGTGGAAACAAAAACAACAACAAAAATCCCTTAACAAAAACAAATTATACAAAACAAAAACAACAAAAATATTCCCAAAAAAAAAACAAAATTATGTATAAAAACAAAATCGTTGTGCAAGAAAACATAAAAAAGAAAAACGTTACAAAAAATGATGTGAAAAAAACAAAAAAGAAGAAAAGTTCGAAACTTATAGAAACCTAAGCGGAAAGTAAATGAATGCATCTTCGAGGCGGCAATTAGTCAGGAGTAAGTGAAATCAAATGAAATTGAATTTTTATGTAATTTTCGACACTAAGCAAAAGAGTTAAGCGAATGTTTTTTCACCATTATTCGTATTCGTGTTCAATTTCTCTACTACTGCATTAATCTGCAGTCATACATAGTATATGCATATAGTATATACACATATATGTAGCCCTAAACTATCCACTAAACCACACATACACACACAAACACAGATACATACTCCCCCCTAAACACACAAACACAAACACACACACACACACGATACAAAACATATAATTTAAGTTATAATTGAGGAGACATCCGTTCGTGTTTCTTAACCCTTCGATCGATTCGGGAGAATCGTACGATGTGTAATTTGCAGCTAAGATTTAGTTTTTTCTTTTTACATACTTATTCTTGAAACAATCCCCTAAGCCCTAAGCCCTGACCCTACCCATACCCAGCTCCTCTACCCTTCCCCTACCCTACTTTAAGTTTTTGTATATACATAGAAAGAAAGAAATGGAAAAGCCGCTCCTCGAGGAACGGGCCAGTGCCGGGTTTCATTGGGATCACGAATGCGTAGTACGAAGTGTGTGCGGTCGATCGGTCGGTGTGTTCGAAAATGAATCCACTCGACACCTGCCCGCTCCACGAGGTGCTCGGATAACCAGGCAAAAATCCAAAACAAAAAACCAATAAAAATGAGAAAAAATAAACAAAAAAAATCAGGAAAAAAATTAAATACAAATAAATGTACAATGCGCTTTTATTCAGACTCTCACATGAGCCCTGATCCATTCGAGATAGCTGGTGATGCGCGTAAAGACCGCCGGGAAGCCCACCTCGCAGCCCATGTTGGTACCGAAGGACGTGGACCCAATCAGTGTGGGTTTGTTGCCCTCCATAACGACCAGAGGACCGCCGGAGTCACCATGGCAGGTGGACTTGCCGTTGGTAGTGCTCATGCAGATCATGTTCTCCGATACTGCCCCGCTCCAGTACATCTTGCACAGGACATGCGGCAGGACGGGCATCTTCACGTAACGCAGCGCCGGAGACACCACCTCTGAGCTGTCGCTGTCGCGTCCCCAGCCCGAGGCGTAGGCACTCTGGTACTCGTAGGTGGGATAGGACCCGTTGACACGCCTCGGCAGGATGGCGGACCGAATGCTCTCGGTGAACCGGACTAAGACTGGCAGCCGGATCAGTGAAATGTCGTTGGCCACCGTGCTCGCTGTCCAGTTTTTGTGCACAATAATCCGAGACTTGTCCACGTGGAACCGCCTCTGTCCGGGTTCGTTTTCGTCCTGAATGTTGATGGCACCCAGGTAGACGATGGCCGACTCTGCCCCGTCCGTGCAGTGGGCAGCCGTCACAATCCAGCGATGGGAGATCAGAGTGCCGCCGCACCAAGTGCTCGTGTTGCCATAGGAGATGTTCAGACCCGCCTGGTAGGGAAACTGTCCCACCACGGCCAGGTCCCCATTGGTGATGCGTGACTCCAGATCAGCCAGAAGCGGCACAGCTGCGCAGGAGCCAGCCAACGCGACAGTCAGCAGAATAGTCGATAGTATTTTCATCTTACTTAATTGGTTGTCAAATGACTGATGAAGACGATTGTCCAACAGTTATATAGGAGCAGTGTAGCCATTTGGCCTTATCGACGATCGAGAAGCCCTTGACCATTGAGCACCACAGATAGTTGGCGGCGTAGAACCACCTGCTAGTGATTATTCCCAGAGATACGAGCTGAAAACAATCTACTTGAAGGCTGCTCCCTAATTTGTGTGGGATTTACACTCGATTCCCCATGAACAATTGTAAAGAAATGCTAATTGAAATACAGACTGCACGTGATAAAAGAGAATGAAGATTCCCCCTTTCAGTAGGGAATTGAGAACCCTGAAGACCGACTCCAACCATCTAACTTTTTCTATCAGTTGGATAGGTAAGTGGCTCTCAAAATATCGCATGCGATAAACTTTGTTTCTGCTCACATTTTGTATCAGGCAGATAAGATCGTAAAAGTAGAGGCGTTTAGTTTAGTACTTTATGTGATAGTATTACGCTTGTGGAACAGTAATACGTCAACAATTGAATGAATATGTTATCAAAAGATGTTCCGACAGTGGCATACACCTGCACACCTTTAAATCCATGTATAAAACAGAATTCTGTGACAAAGATTTCATTGATGAAATGTTTCCCAGAAACATCAAATATTTTTGACTAATGGTAGAGATGGGTACAACTATAATTAAGAAATTTTTAAACTACTATTGTTTCAGCTATGTATGTGAGGAGGATACGCAAATTCTGCACACACCTAAGGAGGTTATCACACTGGCAACACACACTGAACCCCCATTGCTATCGGAAATTCCGAGCAAATGCTAAAGCAAAACACATGTACTTCAATGAGTTCAGCAATCAAGTGGCGTTCAGATGGCTTGCAAATGATAATCCGTAATCGAGCATTATGGCCCATTCGGGCGACTATAAACGGCCAATCAGGGCAGATTAATCCACTAAAGAGGCCATAAATCCACATCCAGGTGGGTACGTTTCGTCAGTGGCAGAAAGAGTGGAATATACTCAAGATGCAAATAAGTTCGGCTCTCGTTGGTCTCCTATTCGTCGTTCTCCAGGTGAGAGGTCTCCTCTGCCTGGATCTGGCTCGTGGCGCACTGATGGGGCGCATCAGTGGCGGAGAGGAGGCCCGCGAGCATCAGTTTCCCTATCAAGTGGGTCTATCAATAGGGGAGGCCAATGACTTGTTTAGTTGGTGCGGAGGTAGCTTGATATCGAATCAATATCTCCTGACGGCTGCGCACTGCGTGGAGGAGTAAGTGGAGGAGCCCCAGAAAATTGTTCGAAAGGATTAAGCTGACAATTATGCCCCTACAGAGCCATCTCCATCACGTTCTACTTGGGCGGAGTGCAGCGACTGTCTCCCAAACAGCTAATGCGTACGAACAGTCCCGTGGTGTACCTTCATCCTGACTGGAACAGCCAAACTCTGGATAACGACATTGCCCTGCTTCGCTTACCCGAGGCTGCTGTCTTTAGCAGCGCCATACAAGTCATCAGACTGCCGGGAATGGCCTCAAGACATGTCAGCTACGACTACGTCCCTGCCACAACCTCTGGATGGGGTCGCATGAATGATGGTATGTCTGTTATCTCATGTACATCAGACTTTAGATCTCCACTGCATCCCTGTATTCTTTTTCCAGAATCCACTTTCATTTCCGATCATCTGCGTTATGTCGTGCAGTTTGTGGAGTCGAATGAGGATTGCCGGTACTCCTTTGCCAACATCAAACCGACCAACATCTGCATGGATACAACCGGCGGCCGATCGACCTGCACCGGAGACTCTGGAGGTCCTCTGATCTATCATGACACCTTGCAGCATGCCGATATCCTGATCGGTGTCACTTCCTATGGCAAGAAGACGGGCTGCACCAAGGGCTATCCCTCGGTCTTCACCCGCGTCACAGCCTACTTGGATTGGATAGCGGAGGTGAGTGGAGTTGTCTACGCGTAGAGTGGCCCGCGTTGGCTGGTTGGCTGATGAAACAGTGCTGGGCACTGTAAATAAATTAAATCAAATGTTGAGCATTTCAAAAGTGCCTCAGTGCTTGTTGTTTGTGGAAAGGGGGCGTGAGGAGTGTGGACGGCGGCAGGTGCACTTGAGAAATAACCAAACAGATAACCCAACAGCCGAACTTTCCTATTGATAAAGAATTAGCTGGAATATAGGCACGCGGAGTGTACCTCTGAATGGCGGATGCAAAGGATATTGGACGAATAAAACTCTTTTCTCTGTTATATTTTATATTATCTAAAAGCTCAAAGTTCATTTATTGTGTCCCTTTTTCTTTGAAAATTTCCATTAGTCGCTGATTTGATCTCTCGTTAGGCTATCTTTTGGCGAGGAGAACTGCCAATTCATTTTCTCCGTATCTCTCAGCAGTTTCAAGAAGCGCGAACAGATCTGGATGTGGCGCATGCCGATAGGGCCGTTACACAAGGAGCGGGCCACAGCCACTTGAGCAGGTGGCCGAATCGGAAAGACCACAGATCAGATAGTGCGTCACGTCATGAGGTTCGATTGGATGGACGGGCGCCTATAAAAGCAGTGGGACGAGCCCAGATCACGTATACTTTTCATAGGTAGCCCAATCATGAAAGTGCTCGTTGTATTCGCTTTGGCTTTGGCCTACGCCTCGGCATCGGCTCTGCGCGGTGTCCAGACCGGACCCGACGGACGCATCACCCACGGCGAGGATGCCCGCACCGACCAGTTCCCCTACCAGGTTGGACTATCCCTGAAAATCGGCTCCTCTTCGGCCTGGTGCGGTGGCTCCCTCATCGGAAACGAGTGGGTCCTGACTGCCGCTCACTGCACTGATGGGTAAGCAATTCATCCAGAGATTACAGCAAACAAAAGTAACTAAAGTTATACTTTGACTTCCCTGCAGCGTTGATTCCGTTGAGGTCTATCTGGGTAGCACTGTGCGCTCCAGCCCCAAGGTCAAGCACCACGTCACCAAGGACGACATCATCATCCACGCCGACTGGAACAGCCGCACCCTGAGGAACGACATCTCTCTGATCCGCATTCCCCGCGTCGAGTACAGCGGCGCCATCCGTGCCGTTGAGCTGCCCCGTGAAGAGTCCCACTACTCCTCCTACGATGGTGATGAGGTCATCGCCTCCGGCTGGGGCCGCACCTCCGACGACTCCAGCGCCGTCGCCGCCCACCTCCAGTACGCCCACATGAAGGTCATCTCCAACAGCCAGTGCAAGCGCACCTACTACAGCACCATCCGCGACTCTAACATCTGCGTCTCCACCCCCGCTGGCGTGTCCACCTGCAACGGAGACTCCGGTGGCCCTCTGGTCCTGGAGCACAGCAAGGTCCAGGTTGGTCTGACCTCCTTCGGCTCTGCCGCTGGCTGCGAGAAGGAGTACCCCGCTGTCTTCACTCGCGTCACCAGCTACTTGGGCTGGATCCATGAGCACACCGGCATCTCTCGTTAATTTGCTGATGTTTCTTCTCCTTTTGTTCGGAGTAATAAAGAATAGATTTTGAAAAAAGACGTGCATTATCCTTTATGTCCTTGCATCCGAAAGGATTGAAAACGATCCTGGGAATTGTTCCGATCGCGATAAGGCGTGGCATGTCCTGATCCGACAGAAAACAGCATAGCTTTGGGCACAGTTTCGCCAAAGCCATGAGTGGAAAATTCTCGAACTACGATATTTTAGTTCCTGAAGTGACCGGCGTGATCGCAGGGCGCCACTGTGAAAATTAGTAAGACAAAAAAATTAAACCTTGAAGTAGGCTACAATATTTTTTCAAAATTTCACGAAAATTCAGGAATTTCCGTTGCGAAGTGATTGCAAAGGATCCAGGACATTGTCCCGATCTGGAGACATGTCCTTATCCCACAGGACACAGCCGATTGTCCCGATCACGAGGATGCGTGGCACGTCCTGGTCGGCCCACAAATAAAGGAGAAAACAACAAAACAAATATGTCCTGTTGTTGTTGTCAATTTATGTTGTTGTACAACAAAAGTGGTTTTTGCTATTGTTGTACAACAACCACAACATTGTACAGTGGCGCCCCCACTATCACGACGGCCACTTCATTAAAATGGCCGAAAAATGGAAAATTTCCAGCCTAAGTACTAGGCGAACAGAAGTCAGCAGAAGGTAACTGGTTTCCATGTTTTTTCACTGTGTCAACAGCTGGCTGCTATGAAATTGCGATTTGCACAGTGGTGCTCCAAAATCACAATGGGTTCGGAAATGGCTTCCTGTGATCGGAAATGGCTTCTTATGATCGGAAAAATTTCCCTGATTTGATGGGGTCCTTATCAAGGATCAAGGAGCAAGGATGCGATATTAAAAATACATATTTTTCATTTTTTAATAGTTTATTAAGGACATTAAAGGTATTATAAATCAAGTGAAGGCGCCTGCAGCAAGACATTATCCTTGGCACTGTGCTCCTCAATGGACTCCTTGAAGGGCACAAGTACGTGCTCCACCCGCTGTTGCAGCTAGAGCTTCTCCTTGTTCCGCACCGAAATATGATGGAGCTTCTAGGACAGCAAGAAATCGCGAATTAGCTCAATCTCTCTCTCGCTGAGCATCCGCCTTAGTAGCTGGTTGTACGCGAGCATCGTTTCGTGTGCGATTGTAGTCGTAACGCCAATGATCGTGGTATTCCGCTTGTAGCCCAGCCAATTGTCGACAACCTGCAGAGTGCCGAGGACAATCTCTGCCTTGAGCATGTCGAGAAGAACTGCAACTGGATTGCAGCGCATCTGCTGGTTGATCAACGACAGGATGAGCTGTTGCACTCAGTTCCCTTCTTAAACAATTACTATCCTTTCACTAGGGACACGGATATCTAGCAAACATTCATCTCTTCAGTAGCCGCCAATCTATTGGTAATGTGGACTGCTATTTCGCGGCTCCCCTGACAGCTAAATCCTGCGGCACCTGCAAGTAGGGAAAAGGTTATCATTGGAAGAGGATGGTGAAGAGGTTAACCCACTAAACATGCCGTATATCCGTTTGGCCAGGTTCACGCCTCATTTGTCAGGAAAAGCAGTTCCTCAGGAAAGTTCCTTTAGCACATTGTGGCAGGGTTTCCACATAGCATCTGCAGATTATGCAGTGTGCCGAGGACAATCTCTGCCTTGAGCATGTCGAGAAGAACTGCAACTGGATTGCGGCGCATCTGCTGATCAACGACAGGCTGAGCTGATGTACTCAGTTCCCTTCTCGAAGAAATTGTATCCGTTCATGTATCCGATATCTACAAGTTTCCCATCTCTTCAGTAGCCGCCAATCTGTTGGCAATGTAGACTGCCATCATGCGGCTCCCCTGACAGCAAAATCCTGCGGCACCTGCAAGTAGGGAAAAGGTTATCATTGGAAGGCGATGGTGAAGAGGTAAACGCTCTTAACATGCCGTATATCCGTCTGGCCAGGTGCACGCCTCATTTGACACGAAAATAAGTTCTACAGGAAAGTACTTTTGGCACATTGTGGCAGGGTTTCCACATAGCATCCAGTGCTCGTGATACAATCTGTACGGCAGATAAGATACAACATCAAAACAAATGAAACACTCTCCACGTGCCTAAATGATATCGCGAAAACAGAAGAGACCTCGTAGTTGCAAGGCACCTTGTACACTAGGTGCTGATCGAAGCGAAAATGAGATCGATGCTGTGATATCGAACACACTTTGCAAATTAAGTGCTGTTCGACGCAAAATGATATCGATCTTGTGAAATTGTCACCTAGTTGCTGGAATACACCTTGCGGATTAAGTGCTGTTCGACGCAAAAATGATATCGATGTTGAGAAATCGACGCCACCTAGTTGCTCGAACACACCTTGCAAATTAAGTGCTGTTCGACGCAAAAACGATATCGATATTGAGAAATCGACGCCACCTAGTTGCTTGAACACACCTTGCTAATTCATTGCTGTTTGGCGCGAAAACTATCTCGGAACTGTTAAATTGACGCAGCACTTTGTGCACAAACAAAACGATAACACCCGCGTCATCTTTGAAAACTGAAAACTCAAGCAATTATTCCGTTCCGGTCAATATCTTTTACCACATATTTCTCCTGTATTTCCAATTAAGTATTCCTAAATTTGTATGTATGTATGAAAGTGGTTACGGTTATAAAAATAATGAATAAGCATAATGAATAACCTCCTATCCCATGGAGAAGAATGATAACCTGAAGGCCATTTCAACAATGTTCTGTGGAACATCAGATCGATGACATATGTAGACCTCTTTGGCTGGCGACTGAAAGAGCCGACCGACCACCACAAATCGAAAGGATTTCGTGGAACAGGCCTGATTCTCCGTTCTGGAAGGCGGGAAGGCTTCCAATGTCATCCCGTGCTCCCTCACCAGCGATATTGCATTGCTGCTGCTGTGTCCATTGGCGTTGACTGGCCCTCTAATGGATTCAGTGAGCTGTCTCCGGTAGTGCTTGGAGCGCTCCAGTACAGAGTGAATGATGTGGCAGGCCTGGCGTATTTCGGAAAGAAATGTGGCACTCTCCGCGCAGTCATTGAAGGGAGCGAACAGAGATCCATTGGCTATGTCAATGTACACATAGTAAAGGACACAGTTCTTCCAGCCGGCGGATATCTTCACTGGCACCACATTGCTGATTTCCTTCCACATGGACTCGGTCATCTGGCTCTGATTGTGGGTCTCCGATCTCAAATTGAGGCCATAGTGCAGCGGATGTTGAACGGCAAAGTTCTCCCAGTCCGACTCGCTGTCGGAGTCCTCTGCGCCGCCATGGATAGGTGTCAGACGCTTGCGCGACGAATCATCTTCGCTGGGCGTCAGACTGTGTATCGAAGATCCGCCCAGGGAGGAACAGAGCTGTGCCTCCTCATCCACAGATACCGCAGTACTCAAGACCGTAAGCTTTTGCTTGAGGAAGGACTCCAGTTTGCCGTTTGCCTCCTTCTCGTCCTTTGCCTCAGCGCCAATTTGCTCCAGCACTTGAGGCCGCTTGTTCGAAATGGACCAGAACATGGCCAGCGACTCGATGCCACACTGAATGAGGTGATCCAGTGTCTCCTGTATCTCCTCGATGTAAAAGAGCGATGGTCCCACCACGGTGTCCGGCGCCATGTCTGGTGCATCGAATATCTTCAGGATAACTGCCAGGCTGAGATGGTTGCGTGTGCAGATGGTCAGAAAGTATCGGCCCGTGGCATTGGGCAGCACGATCTCCTCCCACACATACAGCTCCCGGACACGCACACTCGGTGCTCCAATCAGATCGAAGATCCCACGGCATCTCAGGAAGCCCTCGACATTGGCCCGCACTTCAGCGGGCAGCAGGCTGGCCACCAGGAATTGATTGTAGTACAAAGCGCTGCCATAGATGAAGAACTCGCGGTGAGTGGTCAACGGCTCATCGTTCCAGTTGCGGTAATCCATGGCCTCCATCTCGCTCAGTGCATCGAATACGCGCAGCTGCGCCTCCTTGGGCAGGGGCAGATTCCGTGACTGCCCGAGCAGCTCCTCGAACTGCGTGGCTCCACGGCAATTGAGCAGCAGCCGAGTGCGCTGAATGCCACAGAAGTGGCGCAAGAATGATCTCAGATCTCCGGACCTGCCCTCTGTTTCTGCACCTGCAAAGTTTTCCAGCACCAAGCCCGGCATGGAGAAGCGTATATATCCAATCAGCTCATCCGAACGCATGTTGCACTCGGCCGCGCTGTAGAGACTGTTTGCGTAGGCGAACAGAACCAGAAAGCCATTCAGCCGGCGGTAGTTCACATGATAGGGAACCTGGTCGACCAGCAGGCGCGAAGTGATTGGCTGGGTGTGCAGCTCGCTGAGCACGGCATGCAGGGTGAGGAAGCTGCCACGTGCCTTGTACAGGAAGTTGGTCGTTGCTCCCTCGGGGTAGTAGTACAGCGAGTCCTGGTGCTGGTCATGCTGGTAGCATTCCGGTGGCAGCAACAGCATGCCAAAGGGCATAGGATCGGCAGTCTTTAAGGGGTCAGGCTCTGGCAGCAGCAGTTCCTCAAACTTATCCGCAAACATGGCAAAGTTCTCCACCTTGCGCACCTGCTCCTCCTGCTGGCCAGGTCCGTAGCTGGGATCCGCCGCTGCTGCTGCTGCTGCTGCTGCTGCGGCGTCTGTGGAGCTGGAGGAGGCCTGGAAGCAGAGGCAGACCTGAGTGGGCTCCACGAATTGCTGCAGCAGCTCGTCGACATTGCTGGCATACAGCTCGATGCCGTTGAGCGACTTGAACCAATCTCCCCGCTTGATGTCGTGCTGCATGGCGCTTATGTCGTGCACAAAGCCCTCGACCATGAGACACTCTGGCTGGTCGGGAAAGGGCAGCACTCGGAATCCAAGAATCGACTCCACGGCTGTGGAGCGGCGTCCAAAGCGAAACCGATCTGCTGCAGTTATAACTAGCTGCAGCTTCTTGTTGCTGCTGCTGGCGTCCCCATGCGATGTCTTGAAGTGTGAGAATCGAAACTCGTCGGGCTCGGGCTCGGGCTCTGACAACTGGTTGCGACTGTGGCTCTGGCTCTGCATCTGCGCCTGAGTCTGAGTCTGGGAGTGGGACGGGCGACTGGCATTATGTTGTCGTCGCATCGGCTTCTTTCCCAGGCGCAGTGAGCGGCGCATGAATTCCACCCGACGCTCCGCCGAACTGGCTATGCTTGACTTCACATTCTGCGGCATGTATTCAACGTAGAAGAGGCTGCCGTCCGTGGCCACGTATTCCTCCCAGCTGGCCGAATCGCTACCGTCGCTGTAGGAGTTACTGATCGAAGAGCTGGAGCTGGAAAAGGCCTCCGAATTGGCATCAATGCCTGCCAGACTACCCGGAGACTTGCGCATTTCGGCAGCTATTTTAGACAAGTTGTCTCTTTTTCAATCAGATTGCGTTCTGCCGCATAAAGTAACGCGAGGTCCGCTGATCTTTACATTTGAATGTCGACTGACTGGCAGACTCTTCTCACAGAACCGAAAACCCTAAAACTACACACAGTTCTACCTTGCTCAAAACCTGTTTCTAATTGCAGTCGAGTCAGAGCCAGAGATCAGTGTAAGCCCACCTGGAGAAGGCTGTGTATTGCCTTTTTCTCTTTGCCATTTAACAGCGGGAAACTACTTGCGCTCTTCGCTTCTGGTAACGATTATGTTTGTAAATAAATCTAGGCAAATGATTTCACAGAAGTAACAACAGAAAGACTTTAGAACATAGATGATAAAAGTACAAAATGTCAAAAATATCAGAAAATATGAAGAAAGTTGTTGTGAAATCCCACCTAAAATAAGTAACTTTGAAATCTTTATTAGCGCCAATCAACAGATAATCTTGGGGGTTTGCTAAGGTGTCTTATCGCTTTCATTTGAACTGTAAATCACGTCTAGGGACTATCAGTGGTAGGAGCAGTTATATGTCGACTCATAGACCGTCGAGACATGCAATTGATATCGTTGGTAGTTGATTCGTATTACTGCTTACACAGTTTAGCATTATAGACTAATCTGCGTTCGGCAACGAACCATAATTATCCGATAATGAAACATGGACCTCTCTCCCTACTCAGACCGAAGCGTGGGACTGGGGGCGGAACGAACGCATTCTGCCACCGAAAGACTGATACCCGCTGCTGATAGCTGGAACCCCATTCAAAGGCAAGCCAGGCAAAAATATTGCCAAAATTGATAAGCCGTATCGTGTCAGTGTTGGCCACATATCGGCTGCCACCAATTATATTCGCTGACCATTGGCAAACACTTGTTTTGGTTAGTCTTTTTCGGTAAAGCAAAAGCATCGGTACGTGCGAAAAGCGTTTGGGAAGAGACAAACAAATAAAGACTTAACTACAAAGACAACACTTGAATAAAATAAGATTATAATCAACAAAGGAAGTGTCAACAATATATGTACCTAACAGACGAGTGCTACGAGAATGTACGAGTATGTTTGCTCATTGACAAAGTAGGAACTTGCTCTTCGACAATCAATAATTTGTGGACACTGATAACGGCGATAATTAATAGACCTATAAAATGCCTTCTATATTCATATTAGAAGTCTTTCTCGTTGTGTCTCTGCTACGTGAAAATGCACAAGCAATTAGTGGCAGTGAGTTCCGACGATCAATGAGTTCCGACGTGCAGCCCAATCCAAATCTACGCCAGATAACGACCGATGAGAGCGGAGAGTCCACTGCGGATGCAGATCTCAAGTCAGCTTTGCTCAAATACGATTCGGATGATGGTAACAGTTGTCTGCTCGATATCATCAAGGAGGATGTGCTGTGGTGGTCATATCCAAATGGAACCCTGAAGCAGCTCAATGGAAAATACTGTGAGTAGTTGGAGAAATCTCTTCTTTCCTCTGTTCTGATTTGATACCATTTTTATGCACAGCAACATACTTATATTTGGACCTGTCGCATGGCAACATGGTGGAGGACACAGACTTGTTCCAGCAGACCAAACTCTCACTTACATTTAACATGAAGAAAGTTGAAGTCTTTTCGGCTGCCTACAACACACTCAATGCAGTGCCCTACCAAGCGTTGTACTCTTTAAGGGACTCGTTGAAGCTGTTAACTTTGAGGGGAAACAAGTTTGCGGACCTACTGCCGGATGCTGAGGGTAAGTGTGGCTAGAAGTTGTTTGCACTTAAACTATAGAAACAAGAGACAAATACACCCATTCCTATGATCAGTTATCATTCGCAAATTTCAGCCGTTGAGCGGTATTTGAATGAAACTCGTGTGGACTCCATTAACAACACAACACAACACAAATGCGAGCAGTTGCTGGCACAAAATGCCACTGATCTGTTCGATCGGGAATGCTTTCTATACACAACAGACAACAACACGAACACGAACACGAACACGAACAACGCCAACACGATAAATCCCCCAACGAATGATAAATCCTATGGTGATTACATTCAGTTACTGAAAGCGAAGGTTGACCAACTTGGGAAGTCAAGTAAGACCACAATTACACACACATTTATTACCACAGATAATGCCTTTAGTCTGTGATAATTTGTAATCTGTAATCCTTTAACTTCTCTCACTTAGAGCAAGCCATTGCTTGGGCCACCTTTCCGAATCTAACACGGCTCGTGGAGCTGGACATCAGCAACTGCAGCATTGAGTATGTGGAGAAGGAGGCCTTTAGGAATGTCACCAACTTGAAGCGGCTCTTCATGTCGGACAATAAAATAATGACCATCAATCAGGACACGTTCTATTATATTCAGGGAGTGCAGTATTTGGATATTTCCTTCACCAACGTACTCACGTACAGCTACCAAATATCAATGCCCACACTTGAGATGGCCATGAGCCTCATTTACGGACTAAAGATACAGCAGAATGCATTTAAACTGCTGCCGGAATTGATCTATCTGGATGTTTCCCACTCGAAAATGACTCGCAACAGTGCCGTGGCCTTTGCACACTTGGGGCCAAAGCTGAAGTTCCTCAGCTTGTGCTACACGGCCATTCCCATGGTGAGCAGCGCAATTTTCAAAAACACCGCCCTGGAAGGCCTCGACTTGTCGGGGAACCCCTTCGTGTCGAACAATATCTTGGATGATGCTTTCGATGGGATTGGCAGTACGTTGAAGTACCTGTACTTTGAGCACTCCAACCTCAAGGATATGGACTGGTCCAGGCCCCTGAAGAACGTACAAATCCTGGGCTTGGCGGGTAACAACATAAACGCGCTGTCTTCGACCATGTTCGAGCCGCTGAAGAGCTTGGAAATACTCGACTTGAGCTCCAACCACGTTGGCAATTGGTACAAGAGCGCTTTCGACAATAACCTTGAGCTCCGTGTGCTGAATCTTCGCAGTAATAACATTAATGTGCTGACCAATGAGATGCTCAAGGACTTTGAACGCCTCGAGTACCTGAGTCTCGGCGACAACAACTTCATTTGCAACTGCCACCTGAGGGAAGTGGTCGAGGTGGCGGCGGGTAACAACAAGGAAGCCGACTGTTCGTACAATCTGCTCAACATAAGCCCCACAAGTTCGTTGAATATCCAGAAATTACTGAGCACCGCGGAAACTCTAAACATAGATCGAAAGCTCTGGCAGAACCGATTTCTGCCGCAGCTGAAAAACAGCTACAACAACATCAAAGACTACAAGCGGGTGAACAAGATTTTCAAATTGCGATTCTTAGCTGGCCATTACAGTGTCTCCAGATGTCCTGCCTCGACGCCGTACCCAATGTCCGAGCTAACCAACGCTGAGATGTTGACTTTGAAGTTTCAGCTGCTTGACTATGATGCGTCGCAGTATTGGTGCTTCAATGACACCGATCAAGTGCAGGTGGAGGAGCTGAACTGCCAGGTTCGAGCCATGAACGAAATCTCAAACGAATTGCACAACCTAACGACGACGCTTATAGCGGTGATTGGCACCATCCTCGGCCTGTCCATTTGTGGCTTCATCATCTATCTGAAGCGTTGGCACATTCACTACTACTACTCGTCGCTGAAGTCCGCAGCTCTGCTGTCCAGTGCATCGAAAGAGTCGGTGGACAGCTTTGCGCATTTGTCGCAACGTGATCCCAGCACGGTCTACGACATCTTCATCAGCTACTGCCAAAACGATCGAGCGTGGGTGCTGAATGAACTGCTGCCCAATGTCGAGGAAGCAGGAGATATTTCCATATGTCTGCATGAAAGAGATTTTCAGGTTCGTTGGGGGGTTCCTTAGGGGGCTTAATGTGTACTAATGTAATGAGATTTTCTTTGCAGATCGGGGTCACCATACTGGACAACATTATCTCATGCATGGATCGATCGCACTCATTGATGCTGATCATTTCCTCCAAGTTTCTACTCAGCCACTGGTGCCAATTCGAAATGTATCTGGCCCAGCATCGGTGAGCAAAGCCAATCTGGCATGCCATTCCAGTCCTCACACACTTATCTTTCAGCATTTTTGAGGTCAGCAAAGAACATTTGATCCTTGTGTTCCTGGAGGATATACCGCGTAGCAAGCGTCCCAAAACCTTACAATATTTAATGGATGTGAAAACCTATATCAAATGGCCAGTCGAAAAACCCAAGCTGGAGGAGCGTAAGCTATTTTGGAAACGCTTGAGAAGATCGCTGGAAGTCATTGGCATTCGTCATTCGAAAGAGAACAAAGATTGAGGAACCCATAAATAACCCAATAAATTCCTAGTCAGTTTTACATGTACCTGATCAAAAATAGATTAATACGTAAAATATACTCAACCAGTGTGTGTGTGTTGGTGCTGCTTTCCACATTTTTTGAAACAGGTGAAGCTAGGTGAAATCACGTTTTCGTAATGTTTTCACTTTCATGAAATGCCGATAGTATGCATATTAACATATGCATCCGATACATACGCTTTACAGCTATCGATAACAACAGCAACAGCTGTTTCACCTTCGCGCGCAAAAATAGGTGCATTAAATATTTTGTACTCCAATAAACAAAATGGAATTTCGTTTAAAGAAACGAGCCCGCACTGATGTCAAAATCGAGGTGGTCAGCCTTGAGAGCAAGTACCCCCACAATGTAATGATGTACCTCTATCCACCGACAGACGACATTCATATTGAGGAATTCGAGGAGCTTGCCCTCGAACGACTGCGTCTGCTGCGCGTCCTGGACCGAGCAGGAACGAAAGGACTACGACTGCTCTCTGAGGAATGGAAGGAATATGTGAATGCAGAGCTAACACGCGAGGGCCTGCGCAGCTATCTGAGACTGTGCTCATCCGGCGGAGCCAGTGGCCAGGGCAGCAAGCACGAGTCGGAAATACAGACGCGTCGGCGCGACTACTTATCGCACTTTATACTCCGATTGGCCTACTGTCGGTCCGAGGACTTGACTCGCTGGTTTGTGGCCCGCGAGATGGAGCTTTTTAGATACAAGTTTGCAGCCCTGAGCAGTGCAGAGGTGAAGCAGTTCCTCGAGGAGAATGATTTCAAGTTCCAGCCTCTGACAGAGTCAGAAAAGGATGAGGTCAAGGACGGTCTCTACGAGAGCACAGCGGGCCAAAGTGTTTCCAAGATAGAGCTTCTCGACTTCTACAAGGTGCCATTCACGCAGGTATTGGACTTGGTGCGCGGTCGCCGGTGCTACCTGAAGGAGGGCTTCGCGTATGTGAACACCCACGATCTGGTCTCAATTGTCGGCACAAAGCAACAGGATATAATCGAAATGGGCCTGCTGGCATCCAAGGGCCTTATCGACGAGGTGGAGGGAGATGAGCGCATTTCGCGCATGCTCAAGGCACTGCACAACTCGTACACCGGCAAGGATTATACTATATGCCGCGATGCTGCCGTTGCGATCGAGTCCCTCAACCAGCTATCCAAAACATCGATGCCGCTATGTATGCGCATGTGTCACGAGCACATTCGGGCCCAGCATCACATCAAGCACGGCGGCCGCATGCAGTATGGTCTCTTCCTCAAGGGCATTGGCGTAACTCTTGAAGATTCCATTCGCTTCTGGCGCGAGGAGTTCACAAAGAAGATGGACGCTGATAAGTTCACGCGCAGCTACGAGTACAACATTCACCACAACTATGGCAAAAAGGGATCCATGGTCAACTACACACCCTACTCCTGCTCCAAAATCATCAAGGAAATGGCTGCACCAGGCGACTGCCACGGCTGTCCCTACAAATCCGTGGATCCGGCTACACTCAAAACAAAACTGGCCTCCTACGGTCTGTCGACCAGCCACATCGAGGAGGTGATGTTCTTTGTGTCCCGCGGTCACTATCAGATCGCCTGTGGCAAGTACTTTATGCTCACGCACAACTCGAACGTGGAACCGACCATCAATCATCCCAACACCTACTTCGAGGAGAGCCAGATACTGATGGGCAATCGTCAGAAGCGCACTGCTGGCTCCATGCCACAGAAGATCAAACCCAGGCCAGACATTAAGGGACATGCGGATAGATCAATGTTCAACGGCGACGACGATGATGAGCTGTGGAAGATCGCGGAGTCACAGGAGCGAGCATATCAGAGCCAAAAGGACATATCGGAGGCCTTTAATGATGATCTAGATCTTACGGAAATTACATTCTAATCAGCTAAGACAATTAAATACGTATCTATAGACTTACTAATCGTCTCACGTCCGACAAAGGTAGCAGGTCTTTGAGCTGGCACTTCCCGCCTTTCCACTACTACTTCGACCATACGGGGGCCATCCATTCACATCTAGGTAATAGATGCCTCTTGCTTTTCTATCAATTATGTATCCCATCGAGGAAGGGTTGCCCGCCCTGCAGTCGCGTCGTCTGAGTTCGTCCCAGGAACTGCATTTGGTGGCCATAAAGTTCTTCTCCTGTTGGGGATATGCGCTTTCAGCAAAGTACTCTACAGCGCGTGTATGAGAGCAGCCAATGGTGAGGCAACCGGGCTGTATGGGATGTGCGCCACCTGGATAGAAATCAACGTCTCCCAGGGGTCCTCGCTTTGCCAGAATCCCAATATTCGTATGAATGATGTCTACCAGCTGCGCATCTCCCCGTGTCAGTCCCGGCAGAATCTTTTCTTGCCGAAAACAGGGCTTGGCGGGATCTAGACCAGTTATGCGGGGTACCAGCCGGCCAGTAAGACGCTTAAATGAGCGCCCAGCGGTGCCCATTATGTGTGCCCCCAGTGAGTGCCCTACGGAAGCTCACATATCATCCATGGATCCTTCAACTGTTTAGACTATCACTTACCGATCAGGTGGATATTTCGCAGTGGAGTGAGCTCTATCAAGTGCGTCAGACCCACAGCAATGTGCTCGCCGATTAGGTCCGTGTTTAGGGCCGACCAAGAGTACAGAGTGTCCACGTAATCGGCTGCGTCCACAATCTGAAATTGTTTCTTGGTTTATAAGTGAAATTTACAGTGCAGGGCAGGACTCTCTCTACACACTACAAAATTCACATCGCGGCGACACATGAAGGCCCTCGAAATCATGGCGATAGCAGAGGATTCGTTAACGGTGTTGGTCCAGCCGGTGGCCAAGATGACCACCTTGCGACCCTTGCCGAACTTGGAGTGATTCCAGAGCTTCGCTGCATCCAGCAGTGGAACGCTGTAGTTGTGGCAGGGCGTCATGTACTGAAAGTGCATTTTGTTTATATCCGGAGTGATCTTCGGTGGAACTCTGCCCATAAACAGCGTGGACGAGCCTGTGGAATCACATCGTTTGACATGCGTACTAACAATAGACATTTGTATGCTGTATGCTTACACAGTTTATCTATCGCATTGGCTGCTAGCTCGAGCGGAACAGCTGTAAGGATGTTCGCTTTCAAAGTCACAATGTCGGTCAGCACTCTGGGCACTGCCTCCCACCAATTGGCTGTAGATCTGACATCAGTTGATGTCATCTCGGGGAGTACGGCATGACACTGCACAGAGATTTGTACACAGAGGAGTAAACACTGAATCCGCATCTCTATTCCGTACCGAAGTGAATCTCTTTCTGCCTTGCGTAAGGCTGCAAGTGTATGGAAGTGCTTTTGCGAGCTTTGTTCTGCCTCTTCATTGTTCCTAATCTCACTTTTTTTTTGCCTTAGCCTTATGTTTGCATAATCTGCCATATTTTGCAAGTGGCAATGGCACCATTTGCTTATTAATATTCGTGTTTAATTGACCTCAATTTAGTTTTTAGTGGAAAATTGTTCATTTCACTCTCTGCTTTCGGTAGAGCTTGGGTGTTCGTGTAAATTTAATCTTAGAAAATCTTAATCCTAGAAAGTGATTTACCTATAATCCGTATAGGTTCTGCTATGCGTCATATAATTTAGATATATCTTCGTACTGTACGTTATCGACTATTCGCCCTTTCAGCGGACCATGGAGTATCTCAATGCTGACTGAGAACTTGCGCTCGTCTAGCTTTTTCAGCACAGCCTCGGCCCCGCGATAGGCGCCATTAACCACCAACACTGTTTTGCCCATGGCCGGTATCACTGTCTCCAGGTGGGCCTGTAGGAAAAGGAAAAGAGATAAGCTAACGCTTGTGGCATATAGAATCGAGCGTACCTGATCCACTTTCAGCTTTTCGCCTGTATCAAGAAATTTGATTTTCGCCTGATATTTGTCGATGAGCTCCTGCACAACAGCTTTCTGCTTGAAGAACTTGTCGCCCATGGACTTTGAGATGAATTTCACCACAATGTTCTTGTGCAGCCAATAATCCTTGCGGTTGGTCCGCTCTTTTTTCGCCTCCTCCTGTTGGATGATCTCATCCAGCGCAGATTTGGAATGGGAACCGCCTTTTTCCGACGACATTGACTTGGGCTTCTTGAAAACTTTTTCATCAACCTCAGAGCTGGGTCGCTTTGCCGAAAGAGCCGATTTGCCCAAGATCGATTCGGGCTGGAACTTTTTCTCCAATCGGATATCCAACTTAAGCGGTTCGTCTTCTTCCCGAATAAGTTCCGTATACTTCTCCTGCCCACTGTCGTCGTCATCGTCCTTTGACTTTGCCTTTTTGATTTGTTTTTCAATGAAATCAGTCATTCGCTCCTCGTCGTCTTTTTCCATCTTTTCCTTGCGTTCGGCCTTCGCCTGGCGCTCCATGGCCTCGGGGCTGCGATCAATGTACGAGACAAACCATCCTTTTTCCGTCTCATCCGCCACAACCTGCCCAGTCCGCCCCAGCCATTTGACATAGTCGGAGAGTGTTAGCCAGCGGGTGGCATTCATGTGAATGTGCTCCTTGTGCGCAATGTACTCCTGGTATATCTTGTTGGCATTGGTACGCTTGGTGCCGAACCGCCGGCGCAGCAGCTCCAGGTAGCCATCGGAGAACTCTTTCGAAAAATTGTGCAGAAACTTACCAGGCGAGTCTGCAAACAGAAGCAGCTGCCGCTGATGCGACTCGCTCATGGTGTGACATTTGAAGCCGTTCTCGTCGCGACATTGCTTTTCGCACATTTGGCAATACCAGCGCAACTTCTGCAAGCCCTTCGCCTTCATCTTGTTGGCGAGGTACTTGGGCGTACCAGCCTCAGCGCGCCCCATTGTTTATTTTGGTTTTTATAACAAATTATAACAAAAAATCACAATTTTATGAACAAAAACACAGCTGAGTTAGAGGTGGAGAGCTATCGATGGCACTTTAGGTACTATCGATTGATTGATATTTTATAATTTGGTGACCATTATCGATAGTTCTCCACCTCTACCGGGGAAAAAACGAACTATAGTTTAAATAAAATTAATTTGTTTATTTTACATGATGAACTGTATGATTTGTGGTTAAACTATGATTTGCTCGCCCAGTCGCTCAATCTCGTCTAAGATAAAATCTAACTCATTACTTTGGAGCACTGGAAAGCACGTGAAAACCATCCGGAAGAAGTTACCCAAGTTGCGCGCTTTCAGAGGTGAATATCCAACCATCAACGAGCCGCTGTACGCCATTTTCTCCTTAATTTTGGGGGCTACCTAGCAGGTTAACAAGAAAACAAAGTCGTCATGGGTTTCATTTAAATAAAACACTTGTTTCTACTTACTGTGTATAAGCGGGTCCACCAATCAGACGTCTCCTTGTTGGCTGTAACCCGCATGGCCTTGGGTATGTACCAGAAGCAGACATTGGAGTACTCATGCTTCTGGAGTACAAGTCTGAAACGATCGGGACGAGTACGAAGTTTATCCTCCAACAATCTGCCCATATCGATGGCGTGGTCAACCAAGTGCCCATACTGCCCGTAGCCACGTGCCTTAAGCATTAGCCAAAACTTGAACGCATCTATCTTGCGGCCGCACTGCACACTCTTGTTGCCCGTATCGTAGGAGACGTCGTAGAACTTGTCTTGATGGAACAGATAGTTGGCCTCCGCACTGTTGCAGCGTTGCAGCAATTCTCCCGACTCCCTCGTCAAGAACAGCGAACACTGCAGGGGAACTCCAACCGTCTTGTGGGGATTCCAGGCAAAGGAATTTGCACGCTCGAGGCCAGCAATCAGTGAACGATGTTTGTGGGATAACAGCGCTGCCCCACCTAGGCACGCATCGACATGCAGCCACAGTCCGTGGCGTTCTGCTAAATCCGCAGCCCCATTGATATCATCGAATGCTCCAAGCACAGTGGTTCCGGCCGTACAGTTGACAAAGAAAGGCTGTGCTCCACGAGCCTTTGACTCCATTATCTTTGCCTCCAGGTCGTCCAAAAGCATTTGACCACGTTCATTGGTTCTCACAGCCACACAATTGTCATTTCCAAGGCCCAGCCAGTGGGATGCCTTCACAAAACTGTAGTGGGACTCCTCGGAGGTAAACAGCACCAGGGGCCGTATTCCGAACATTCCAGAGGTCTTCACTTCTGGTGCATACTTGTAGCGTGCCATCACGATGCCGTACATGTTGGACATGGATCCTCCAGGCCCGAAAATACCGTCACCATCTGTATAGCCGGCCAGCCTGCACACCGTTGCAATCAGCTCTGTCTCGATCAGACTGAAAACAGGAGCCACTTCGTAGGTGTACCTGCAGGTCGAGAAAGATAGTTATTGCACAATTATCATGTCACATCTGGGGAATGAAATATGTAGGATTGTTGGACTACAATCTTGCGAACTCTTAATTAATTTAAATACAAAATGCAATTATAATTATTGCCACCCATAATGTATGTACAAAGTGCAACGTTAATGCTGCTGCAATCTTACGAGCTTCCATTCAAGGCCTCTGTGACCAATGCTCCCGCCATTCCAAAGGGGTCAACCTGTCCGAACAGTTGATTGTGGAATCGTCCATGCGAGGTTTTCACTGAATACTCGATCACCGACTGGCAAATCTGCTCGATTTCCGAAAGAGTGCACTTCTCCGTCTCCCGGATTTTCAGATTAATCAATTCCTTGGAATGATAACATAAAAAACATGTAAATGTAAGTACATTATGGGTTTCATTTAAAGCTTATTGACTGTCTGTTTCCATGGAAGGTGTGTTTAGTATATCCAACCTTTTTATATATTTAATAACTTTGACTTTAACTTTAACTTAAAGATAATTACTTATCAAAAACACAGCTCGTACTCGTACTATGTCTATTCATTTATTCTATTCATTCGGCTTGAAGAGAACCGGTTTTGGCTTATCGGTGCTCTCAACACCATTCAATTTATTATATAATTGACTAATTCACAATTAATTTCTTTGGAATAAGTCTTGGAGGTCAAGAAATGAACTCTTTTCTGTTTGTAATCAGACAGTCACCCCGTCGTTATCTCAAGACAGACGTACCTTCAACTCGTCTGGCTGCAAAAATGATACAATTTTCTGCTTATTCCATTTTTGGGGGTCCACACAGAATGTGTTGTCCTTCTGCAGTAGCTGGAATACATTTTCCAGGATTTTCCAATCATCCATTAGGCCATCGCGAACTCGATTCACAGCTGTTGCCTGATCCATATCACAAAATATCGCCAAGTCACGACTTTACCAGTGAAAAAAACGGATTAATTTTATTAAGTGAGTATTTCTTGAACCTCTGTCGCCGCCGACGATTCAATTGGAAGTGCCCCAGTGATGTGATTGCCAGTCGCCGCACTGTAGCTGATTGTGACTTTACGAGATTGTATGTACATTTGTACGTTCTCTTGATCAAATTCTCATCAAAGTTGTAAACCGAGACTCTACCACATACAAATGGTATACACGAGTGCGAGCATACGATTTGTATATACACGCACAGTGCCGCTATCGTGATCTTTGGGGTGGAACCGAATTTTGTTTATCCAAACTATAGATGGAAAGTTCATAGATATGTATTTTTTGTTTAAGAAATGTTTGACGAACATAAGAAGCTGTGCTACAACTGGAATCACATGGAAATATTCATTAGCATTGGAATTGGGTCAACATTTCAGTACTTGCATTCTTTAAGAAAAGAAATCTTGTAGACTTTCACTTCACTCACGTGGAATACCACAGTATAATCTTGTAGAAAAGCTGTTGGAAATAGAGGGTATCCTATAGTCGGTATGGCCAGTTTACCTGTGTGCCTTATCAAAAGATCTCTATCAAATTGATTAGTTTTCACTTGGAACTTTCGGCTTTTCTTTTTTTAGATTTTGAAAGTAGAAGAGTTTAATGGAGTGCAATTTCAGAAGGGGTAATTGAATGAAAGAGATACCCAGCTGATAAGTAGTCCGAGCACAGTAAGTCGTACGTATGGTAGGTGAGTACTTACAAATACAGCATTTGAATGCATGTACTAACACTCGTAGCATATATGTATGTAAATTTATATGTATTGGGATTTGTGCTCTTTACTATTTGCACTGAAAAGCTGAAACGGGTTTCAGACAACTATTTACAAACATCTGCATGCAAGTTGTACTTGGTGCTTGGTAATCGTAGAGGGAAAAAGCCTTAGAACATTGATATTGTTAGCCCTTTGGTAGTGTTTGGGTCCACTAAATCATAATGGACATTTGTATCAGTTTTGTTCACGTAAAACGGTATCATTTAATGTTTGTTTTCTTCGATTTAACATATTATTATCTTGTATATATGCATTAATTTAGATTTTACTTTTACTCGCCAACAACGTAAAAATGGAAGAGGGGTTTGTTGTGTGTGTTTTTCGCGCAGTATTAAAATATTCTATTTAATTTCCTGGTCTATGTGGCTGCTCAGTTTCAATTTACGTTCGATGGTAGGTGTAGCTTTTTGTTGTATTAACAGAAACATTCTCTAGTAATCATCTAAGTCAAAGCCTTCATTGTCCAATTCATCAAGCTGCATACTCTGGAAATCCACCTTGTAGCGTAAGATACCTGCGGAAGTACAATGTTATCGTATTAATATCAAATAAATTATAAAGAAACAGAAAATAATAAAGAGAACTAATAATATATTGAATGAATAAATTAAATGAAAGAAGAAAGAGACTAGCTTTGAGGGCGTTAAAGCTTTGGCCAAATCAAACATGGAACAGATAAAACTGAAGGATACAGGAAATGCATAAATTATAAATTAATATATCATCTGCAAGAGTGTAGATAAACCAAAATGATAAAAGATAACCCAAGATAACTTGTAAAACTAAACATTAGGGTCTCACCTCTTTAGGCATCATTATTAAGTAACTAGTTCTAAATTAAGTAAGGAGGCTACAAAAGGAGTACAGGAGTACTGGAGTAGCACTGCCATCATGTTCTGATAGTTATATTTATTTAATCGTTTTTATGTGTGGTGTGTTTTATTTTTATTACAATTCTCATGGTTTTAATTTGTTTCTTGTGTACTTTCTTATAACTCTCTCTCGGTCTAAGGTTTGAATAGAAGGGAAAATGCAGATACACGTTCGGGGGAACTCTTTGCCAGCTAAGTGGTGACACGCTCGCCGTATATCTTATTCTTTTATTTAGCTTTCTTTTTTTGTTTTTTGTTTTAATGGAATTAAAGTGAATCCGAAAACAGGGAATAATCTAATGGATTGTGTGAAAACGATGCCGTTGCATCGTTTCAGTTAATTTACGAATTAAATATTTGTGAGTTCTTAAAAGTATTCGCGGACTAATTTAAAAATTTGGTAAATCGTAGATATGGGTACACATCTAGTGCACCCTGACCTGATCCGACAGTGAAATGCAATCCACCTCCGAGTGATGCAGGACCCTCCCTACTCTGCTGATAAATATTGTATCGAACGGCTACGCTGAACATAGATTAAAACTATGTGGCAAGTAAATTGGTTCCTAATCAATTTGAACGTTTTGCTTTACGAGATTTCCCCAAAAAAGTATATTTGTTATTTGTTGAATTTAACGCATAATCGAGAACTCTTAGACTCGCAAATAGCGAACAGCAAAGTGCGAGTCTGTTCACAGCACACTGGTGTCTAATAATCATCGAGATCAACATCCTCCAGCGGCTCGTCAGCCTGCAGGGATTGAAAATCTACTTTGTAGCGCAAAATGCCTATTCGACAAATTTACATTTTACAAATATTCAATTATAGCCAAGGCCAAGACCATTCGTGTGCCGCATTCGTGGTTAAGCAGCATGAGGGAAGAGGAATGGAAAAACAGTTTCAACTTTCGGCATTGATTAGCTTACGATATAACTACAACTAAAGCAAGCTCCAGTCCAGTATGATAGCTAACGTTAGTGTCTGGAGCTGTGTTTGTCTCGACTTACCGCCAATGCCGCCGAAGCCACGCACAAACTGACTGCCCTCCTGCGACTTATCGGTAATGATCTCCAGCGTGGCGCCAAAAATTTTGTAATTGTTTGCCAGCCACTCCAGCAGCGGTTGAGACTCGATTAGCTCCATCTCCACGCCACTCTGTTGATAGAATAATGGAATGAATTTAAGAAGGAAATCAAATGATAATAGCTGGGGATGGTGTATACCTCTTTGTCAGTGAAGTGCGACTTGTCCTTTTCCTGCTCAGGCGTCAAATGTAATACTGTCGTTGACGTCGAGTTGGCATGATTCTTAAGAACGTAGCGTTGAATGTCGAGGTTCTCCCAGCAGATTAAAGTCTCCACCGATCCCAGTTCCAGTGCACGCAAAGTGTCCTCCACTCCGAAGCAGTATTTTCCAGTGTCCTAGATCACAAAAGCCAACGTCTCGTCACACAGAATCAATTTGGAAAGGGGAAACACCCCAATTCAATATACCTGAGAAATTTCATCAAAGTATCGCCCAATGAGTTTCTTTTCCTGTATGAATTTCACATTCTGCAACGACTCGGCTGCCAATTCGATGGCCTGATTGAAGCCGTTCTCGCCACCATAAGAAACGTCCACCAGCTTGATGACTTTTGTTTGCAAACGCTGCAAATGGGTAACAGAAAAAACAGTGTTAGCCGAGGCAGAGGCCATAGGATGGTGCACAACTCACGGGATCAAACATATCGGACTGGCTGAGCTCGGTCTTGAAGTCCGCGCTACCAGCCAGAATGAGGCCGGCAATGTTGGGCTTGTCATTGGTAATGAACAATTGGGTGGCCACCTCTGCGACCTTGCGCACATAGTTGTGACGCTTCTCCATGCGCAGACGGGCGAAACGAAGGGCAGACTGACCACCGCGACCGTGCTTCTTCGGCAGATCGACGGTGAATTTGTGCAGTACCTCGCGGGTGTTGCCCTGCAGGGTACCGAACAGCGCACCATTACCATCCATCACAATGAAGCCGAATTTGTTATCATCGGCCAGCAGGGCAGTGAGGGCCTCCGTGTGGAACTTGTTGTCGCACAGATACAACGAGGTGTTGATGGGCTTGAATGGCTCAAAGTCTATGTTCACTTTCTTCTCCTTGCCTTCCTCTGTGACAATAGTGCCGCAGTAGATGACCAAACCATTTGGAGGCACTGAAATCGAATGATTTGTATTTATTTCTTCTTACAATCTCAGGATATCTCAACTCACCTTTGGTGTATAACTTAAGTCTGTGCTGGACCGACGTAATGGCACCAAGGACGGATAAGCGGTTCACGCGCGACTTGATGTTCGACGCCGTTCCAAATTCATCGGCCAACATTTTGCTAACGCGCGAGATTTGATCCTTTGGCGGAATAATCAAGGAAATCATGCTGGTGCCATTTCTGAAATCAAAGAAGAGAAAGTGAGTGGAATTCGGAATCGAAATAGTGGTGAGGCGCCACTGTAGGTGAGTTATATACTACATACATATGTACTACACAATTACACCCTGTAGTATAGCCGAGTTCTGTGAATCGTTGACCTTGTTACCTACTGTCGGAGAGTCGGAGAGAATCGGGGACCCCAATTGAAAGAAGGACTCAAATAGAGAGCGAGACAGAGTGAGAGGGTGGAGTTGTGAAGTAGACTCAAATAGTGAGAGCACTCAATCCGCTAGGCAGAGGGGTGAACCACGAGGCGCATTACTCATGGGCTCCACCTCATCGGGGCACAGCGGTAAGGTCTAGTTTGAACTGATAAAAACCTGACGAAAAACGTGTTGCTCAAACGCTGAGAACGGGAACGGGAAAAGGTATAAAAAAAACCTCAAACGGGTGGTGTGGTAACGTTTGAGACGATTGGGGCTCAAAGGCTCGCAAACAATATGCTCCGAGAGAGTCACTGCGCTCAAAAAAGTGAAGGTGGTGGTTGTACAGCTACCCACCACCACACGCGCCACTTGCGGCTCCCCCAAAACAGTCGCAAGGTCTGGCGACAGCGCGCAGTTTCTCCGCACCCGCCCCACACACACGCCCGTCCGATGCAGCATGGTGTGTGTACCCCACAAAAGGAAAACTAAGCAAAATATGCACACAATGGTGGAGCCATTGAATCAGGGGAGGGAGGAGAAGAGTGTGTACTCACCCGCGTGCCATTTCCAGACTCTTGATGAGTTTCTTTATTTTCCATATTTCGACATTGCGATCAGCAGACGTTTCTTCGCCAGACATTTTGCTTGTGAATTTCTATCTCCTGTTCCCCTTCAAAGTCGTTGCCAATAGAATTACGAGAGTGATTTTTTGTGCTTGTTGTGTGACGGTGACAGTGGCTGCTGGCTGTGACTGTGGCTAGGGGGAGGGTTAGGCAGCCTGTTCCTTCTCCGATTCTTCTGCGCCGCTAGTATTTATGTTCACCGTTCCCTGTGTTCGTTGTATTGACATTCACGTTCTTCCTTTTAACGTGGCTGCCGTGATGAAAATACCCTGTAAATGGTTATATACACACATTACACACATTTTTACATGTACACACGAACACATACACCCACACAATCGCATACACTTGTAAATAATGTAAGAAAGAAAGGGGAGAACGAAATTGAGCGCAGTAGCTGTCACAGAGTCACAAAACGAGCGAAATAATTGCGAATACTAATAATTTTTTACTCGAATTCTTGTAAATTCACACACTCCCTAAAGATTCAGATTTCTGGGGACAGACAATCAGACAGACAGATTTAGGATGACAACTTTTCCTGTGAACAAAAGACTGATTTCAGTCTCGAGTTGAGCACAATTCGAGTATATTATTTCACTCCACTTATGCTTCCACGAGAATTAGCGCCCGTACGCAAAATTTAGCAGTGCGACAGGGATAGAAAAAGCGTGTGAGAGAGAGAGTGGAACTGAGACGGCTCCAAAGGTGACGTTGACACAATCGCGTGCAAATGATATTTGTCCTCGAATTGCCTTTCCGATGACTGCAAACTTGATGAAATCTCTTATAGATTATCACACGTATTGCCTCTGCACACAGTCCACATTATCCACTTAGAAATAGGGGCTAATTTAATAATTTTTCATACAACGTGCACAAAACCGGACGTGGACCGCGAAATGATCGATTATCGACTATCGATAAAATAAACATACCAATTTATACCATTGAATCTTCAAAATATACCGTAAATATACCGTAGTCTTAAATCAGATTCCTCTTTATGGTGTTATATTTTTGATATTACTAGCTTGAAAATACTTTCACCACTGAAACAATAATATAATCCGATTGATGAATCAATTTTTCTGAATATAAATTCTCCTTTTTATTGGCTGGTATAACTTATGACTTTATGACATTACTACTACACATTTTCTACATACCAATAACATACTTAGCAGAATAGGGATATAAATAACAAAGTGTTGGAAGCTGGATGCTAATGCTGAATTCAGAGTCTATTTAACATTAAAGATGAATCTAATTAGACCCAAATGAAAATGAACAAGAACACCTTAGCGCCTTTGTCTGCCATTATGGTTATTTGGCTTTTTAAATGTAAGCATTTTAATGTAGTCACTTTGATTTGAGTGTGATTGTTATTTTGAAATAAATTTATATATTTTATATGTAAAATGAATTTGTATCATTAAGATATTGAATTGTAGCAATCGATAGTGAGCTAGGTCGATGGTGTCCAACCATCGATAGTGCAATCGATAGTTCCCCTCCTCTGATACCTGCGTATATTGATTTTATTGTAAAAGTGGAAATAAAAGTTTTCTTCCAAACCTAGGGTCCAGCCGAGCCCTACCCTACTTAGTTGTTGCATTTAAATGCAATTTCACACAAAGCGAACATAATTCCTCAGAATGGGTGACAACGAGCAGAAGGCCCTGCAGCTGATGGCTGACGCCGAAAAGAAGTTGACACAACAAAAAGGATTTCTGGGCTCTCTTTTCGGGTAAGTCAAATGGAAAATACGATTATGTGCATATATTCCACCTTCCACCTCCGTTCCACTGGTTAATGCAAGCTTACATCTTAAACATGCGTACATTGTATGCATGTATGTGTAACTACATACATACACACATGCATGAATATGAAATTCCAGTAAGCTGCGCTGCTATTTCTTCTGCCTGCCACCCTCTCTCCCATATCACATCCTATATGTACCAGCTCCAAGATTGCACAGATAAACATATCTATGTATAAGTTTGGATATTAATCATGAAACTATGAAAAGGTGATTCATCATTTTATTTAATGGAAAAGTTACTTTACTTTTGTTTCGATCTTCCACAATTGTTTCTTTGTTCCTTTGTTACTTATAAATCCCTGCAAATGGGCTGAATGCGATTTTTATGCATGTGTCTTAAACTTGGGTGTGCTCTTTTCTTTTTTGCAGAGGGTCAAACAAGGTTGAAGATGCCATCGAGTGCTATCAGCGTGCTGGCAACATGTTCAAAATGTCCAAGAACTGGACAAAGGCTGGCGAATGCTTCTGCGAGGCGGCTACTTTGCACGCCCGTGCTGGAAGTCGCCATGATGCAGGCACCTGCTATGTGGATGCCTCCAACTGCTACAAAAAGGTTGATGTTGAGAACGCTGTCGCCTGTCTGATGAAGTCCATAGACATTTACACTGACATGGGTCGTTTCACGATGGCCGCTAAGCACCACCAAAGCATCGCTGAAATGTACGAGGCTGATTCCAATACTCTGGTATGTGCCCTGCAGCGATTTCCCGATTGAACGTGAATCGTTAACCGGACACTTTTATTCCCGCACAGGCTAAATCGATTCAACACTATGAGCAGGCAGCCGACTACTTTAAGGGCGAGGAGTCTGTGAGCTCTGCCAACAAGTGCATGTTGAAGGTTGCCCAGTACGCAGCCCAGTTGGAGGACTACGAGAAAGCAATATCAATATACGAGCAGGTGGCAGCCTCATCGCTGGAAAGCTCGTTGCTCAAGTACAGCGCCAAGGAGTACTTCTTTCGTGCAGCTCTCTGTCATTTGAGTGTCGATCTGCTGAATGCCCAGCATGCAATCCAGAAATATGCGGAGCAATATCCAGCATTCCAGGACTCGCGAGAGTTCAAGCTCATTAAGGTTAGACATGAAATGAGGAGAACCTGAGCGTCTCTAATATGAAATTGATTCTTTTTATTCACAGGTTTTGTGCGAGCATCTTGAGGAACAGAACATTGAGGGCTTCACAGAGGCAGTTAAGGACTACGATAGCATCTCACGATTGGATCAGTGGTACACCACCATTTTACTCCGAATCAAGAAGGCTGCGGACGAGGATCCAGATTTGCGATAAATTAATCAAACACTATCTGATCTGATAAATTCACATACACATTTACTAAATGCTTTATTCGTTTCGGAATTTAATATACCTATGCAATATAACTACAGAATTAATTAAACAAGTGGCACTGCTCGTCACAGAAAAGACACACACACACACACATAATCCCATTAAAAAGGAACTAACTAACAGTTGAATAATATATTAAGCAGCCGCCCCATAAAATGCCAGCTTTTCCGGATGGGATAGCTATTGGCTAAGAATATTCCCAGACGAATATCAGCTCCTTGCAACGAATAAATAAATCAAGCCAAATGCCACTGTTAATATTATGTTTGGAAAATTGTGCAAGTTCTGTTATCTATAATCATTTTTATTGCACGTTTATAGGAATGTAATTGTAACGCGGTTATTTTCCAGGTATTTGCGTTACATTTGTTATTTTCTTTTTAATTAGAAAAAATGTTTAATTAGCTGCTGTTTTTTGTTTGAAACATTTTAGCTTCTAGAACCGGAGAGTTTTATTGTGTTAAAACAAAATTGATGTTTTAACCGAATTGGATGTTTGTTGAATCAAATTAGAACTCCCCTCCATTGATAATGCACATTAAGAGAAGAAGAGTAAACGAGTTTTAGAATATGCAAGACCTACCAACTATATATGCATGTCCATAAATGTATCGAAAACTATTCCCCTATAAATAATATTCAAACGAGAGTAACGAAATCTTATAAAAATACTTGAGGGTCACATTTATTGAAAATTCCATCTCGCAAATGTTTTGAAATGTTTAGTAGATTATATGATAACTCCTATAAAAGTGTATGAGAAAATATTCAAATCCAATAAACAGAATTAAAATATACTAAATAAATGCGGGGCAGAGAATTGTACACCCTTGCGGTTGAAAAGCCAATTATTAAATGGATATTCCACCATAACAATTAAACGATATCTAAATAAAAACCACTGCAAGGGTATAAGCAATGCAATTATGCATTCATTATCACAGATATTTCAAATTTAACTATTTTAATAAAGTTACTTGCTTGGATTAATCCCGCCATCCCAATCCTCGTATCCAATCCAATCAGACACAGACTCTAAAATCAACTTTATGTACATACAACATGCATTGGTAAGCACATGGATGATCAGAAATATAATTCTGAATAGATTATTCCCTCTACGCTCTACCCTAAACGTCAGTAAGCCAGTTTCCACTTTAGATCGGTTGGGTTTCTCCGCGAATTAGAAAACTTGATCAAGTCGGATGTGGAATGCGAACGTCAAACAGCCACAGAAAAGAAAGTCTAGCTTTGGCTCCTACAGCAGCAAAATAATAAATTGATCTCTAGAACAAAAATCCATCTGCGTGGGAACTTCTCAGAGAGCGCTCTCTCTCTCTCTCTCTCTCTCAGCCTCCAAGCCTCCATGTAACCCTGTCTCTGTCGTTGATCCTGAATCAGAAACTATTAAGCTCTCCATACACACTCGCGAGCATCAGGTGAACTTGTACTTTGCCAGTGCCATGGCATAAACAGAGCAGCTCGTGAGCAGCTCACGACTGTCAATACGCGCTCTCGGCTCTCATCGAGCTCAATGACGATGACCGTCGTATCAGTGGCGTGGAATGATGCCTCAGTTATTCCACCGTGGTCAGTGTGTTAGGTACAGTTTAATTGTTTGATCCGTTTAGCTGTTTGGTTCCAACTATTGGTTCCTACCGTGGTCCAGAAATTAAAATAATTAATTAATTACTCGCATTATATAAGCCTCGATTCGAAGATCAGCTACGTCTTGGCTGTGTGTGTGTGTGTACGTGTGTGCGTGTGATACTCATTGCATTCCGGTTTTGGAATAATATCCAAACAACAAAAGCTCCATATAAATTTATATATACACACGCCCCGCACTCGTATAAACGGTCGCTACGTCAGTGCCAATCCCACCGAAAAAAACCCGAAATACATCAGTAAATAAAAATTGAATAATTGAAACATACTACAACGCACATGTGTATGTATGTACGAATGTACAATCAGTAGTACATACACATAAGTTCAAATTATAGCAAACAGTTTCACTGTTTTGATAGACGAGACTCGAAAGTAACTTGCAAAATGCTTGCATTACCAGGTAACGATCAATTGACAATGGGGGATATTCCCCATTTCTGGTACACTCATGCACCAACCCATGCAGTCATCCGAGTCTTTACATTAACTTGAGCAAACACATAGCATCAGTCCGTACATCATCCGTATACTTTTGTCTGTGGAAGGAAGGTCGCAACTCAAATCATCTTTATCAGCACAGAAACACACACAAACACACTCGCAGTGTATTCACATTTATGGAAGATGGAAATGAAATTGACAGTTAAGAAAATGTGTTCCAATATCCGGAAGTGAAGTACATATTTACTTATGTATATATAAAGCTGAATCACTGTGGAATCTGGGCAATCTGAAATACGTACAGACACCGGAATTCGCTTAATTCAGACAATAGACTTGACAAGGGGGGAAATCTACTAGTAGAATAGATAATAGATTCAGGATTCACCACACAATTTACTCATTCAGTTGTTGCCAAAGTCTAGCACTGATTTGCAAACATATTTGACTCCATTTCAGGTCGTGTTTTAGGATGCCTCCAATTGCTTCTTGTGTTCGCAGGCATGTGTCTGGCGCAGCAGCAATATCCTCAGCTGTCTGTCGGCACTCCCCTGGAACCGTTGACCGCACCGACAGCATTTGAGCAGCAAACCACCCATATCCAGTCGCTGAGGAGCAACTTTGATGCGGACTTGCTGCGCACAATTTCCCAGGGCGCACAGGAGTTTGGCCTCGATCTCCTGCAGCGTATATCCGTGGAGGTGCAGAAATCCAACAGGGATTTTATGATATCACCCTTTTCCGTGTGGTCGCTGCTCGTCCTGCTGTACGAGGGCGCCAGCGGTGCCACCTACGACCAGCTGCGACGGGCCCTGCACATCAATGTCGAGGATGAGAAGCTGCGCGCCGTCTATCAAGTGTGGAGCACGTACCTGAAGTATGAAACCGTCACTAATGGCATGCCATTTACTCTTAACTTACTCGATTGTGCGACCTTTCTATGGCAGCATCAACACGTCTACCATTGAGGTGGCCTCGCTCCAGGCCGTTTACACCGATCACAGTTTGCCCGTGAAGAATGCCTACCGGGATGTCGTAAAGAACTACAACGTACAGCCCGTGGAGGTTGACTTTTACAGTGCCAATACGGTGCACCAGATCAACGAGGCCTCCAACCGCACAACGCGCGGTCTCATTCCGTACACGGTGCTGCCCCAGGATATTTATGGAGCCAAGATGTTCCTGCTCTCCTCGCTGTTCTTCAAGGGCCAGTGGAAGGTGTGTGTGGTTGTGTGTAGCGCAGTCCCCGCTCTAACTAAAAAGTTTTCTCCATTTGCAGTTCCCCTTCAATCAGTCTGCGACGCGTATGGAGCCGTTCTACAACGAGAACGACGAGGCCATCACCACAATACCCATGATGGTGCAGGAGGCAAACTTTGCCTATGCCACAAATATTGAGGGCTTGGACGGCTACGTACTGGAGCTGCCGTACGGAGCTCAGGACAGGCTCTCGATGATAGTTATACTGCCGAAGCGCGGCTTCAAGCTAAACGACGTGGCCAATAATCTAAAGGCGTTGGGTCTTGCGCCCATCTTGCAGCGTTTGGCTGCATTCAGGCGCACCGCCTCGGAGGACAACCAGGTGGAGGTGTTAATGCCAAAGTTCACAACGACGACTGACTTCACCCTGAAGGGAGTCCTGGCACAGGTAGGATCCAACCCAGCCATTCGCTTTCACAGTCAAACTTCAGCCAATTCTTTGATATTTCTTTTGCAGATGGGCATACTCGACCTTTTCGATGAGAATAGGGCAAACCTCAGCCGGATGTCCTCTGGTTTGTTTGCCAAACTCTGCATTCATTCCACCAAAATCATTGTGGACGAGCAGGGTACAACCGCCGGGGCAGTGACTGCCGCTGTGCTCGCGAACAAGGCGACGCCGCCAAAGTTCCAGCTAAACAAGCCATTCCAATACATGATCGTGGAGAAGGCCACCAATCTAATGCTCTTTGCTGGCCAAGTGCGCAACCCTAAGGCGATTTAGTCTTAAGCGAGATTTTATTGACATCATTCAGAAAGAGAAATCCTACGTTAAGGAACTCGTAGCCCTCGGGCAGACTATTTTTTGGTGCGCCCGGTGGCCTTCTTGCCGCCAACGGGCTGCTGTTTGTCTTTGCTGGCTTTGCTGGAGATGAGGGGATGAGTTTCTAAAAGGGACCGCAGCGGATTATAAAGTGCATTGGATTTATCGTTCGGTTAGTGGTGCGGCGCTTACCGTCGGTGGGTGCATCGGGCAGGCTGACATCGTAGTGCTGCATGCGTCGCCGCTTGGAGGCCATTATGTCGTCATCGTAGTCGTGTGGATCGTTGCTAAGTATCACCGCACTGGCCTCGAGGCCGTCCTGTGGTGCCCAGCCATCTTCGGGATCCTCCACCTCCGGGGCCATGGGCAGGAATTGCAGAGCATTCTCGTCCTCACCCTCCTCATCGGAGGAGCAGAATGCTGCCACTGGTTCCACCTTTTGTACATCTACTTCAATCTCTTCATCCTGCTGGGCGTCTGCATTAAGGTCCACCGACTTGTCCTCATCGGCAATATCGAACTCGGACTCTCTCTCCTCGTATTCAACATTCTCATCCAATTCCTTGAAGTCGGGTGCAAACGCTGACCAGTTTTCGACCTGGTTCTGTGCCCAAATCGAAACGAGACCCGAACTAATGCTGGCAATGATGGGTCGCACCGGATGCCACACCACGTCGAGCAGCAGTTCGCCCTTTGTTCCATGCAGAATCTTCACGAGATTCCCAATCGACTTCTCCCATATGTACAGCGCATGCTGGCGTGCACTGCCCGCACATATATATTCGCCGTCTCCCGAGAAGCAGCACTTCTTCCAGGTGGTTCTGCATAGATAAAGCTGTATATTGAATCATCCAAAGTCGAAGCGGGAACTCACTTGTTGACCAGATCCTGCAGCTTCTGAATTGGCTCTGGTTCTCCGTCCCTGCCCAGTGCAATTATTTCCTTGGAGTCGTACACGCGTATCACTCGATCCGATGTGTTGATGAGGAATGCACTGAAAGAGATTTTATTTATTGCTTACTTGAATTATTAATTATTTTCCAGTCACTTACTCTCCTCGTCGGGCAAACTCGATACTCTTGACGGCTGTTGCACTCGAGGTGCCCACAATGATGCGAAAACTGGCCACCACTTCAAACGTTTCCACATCCAAGACGAGTATTTTTCCCTTGGCATTTCCCGTGTAAATGTGTTTTCCGCGGCGATCGAAAGAAGCCACAATATTCAGGTCACCCTGCCAAAGAAAGGTTAATCTCAATTGCTGTCCCTTCGATTTTGTGTAAGGTGCAAACCAACGTCAGAGTCCAGGGGCAGGCAGCGATGCGATCCTCCGATTTCAACTAAAACGGCGGCATATCGCATGGGACACACCAGCAGTCGATTGTCGTTGCGGGGATCGAACTGCACCTTCAGCACGGGGGAGGGAAATCGGTACTTGTGCTCAAGCTCGCCGGTCAAAACGTCCCAGATGCAGACATTATTGTCCGTGGATGCCGACAACAGCTGAAATGGGATTCGAGTTAAAGAAGCGAGAGGATCGAAACGAGAGCTCACCTTGTGCCCGTTTCTTGTCCAGCTGAGGCTGCAGACGGGATGGACGTGGGCTGAAATGATTTTGGCAATGCCGCGCGTCAGAAAGTCCCAAATAACTATTCGTCCATCGTTGCATCCCACGGCGAGGAGCGTTCCGTATTTGTTGAAGGCACATGTCACTGCCAGTGAAATGCAGTCTAGGGAACCATCAAACTCCTCGGGATAGTTTTGTCCAAATGACTCTGATAGATAAAATGTGTTCTGGTTATTAGTTTACCTATTTATTTTGTAAAACAACGTACCTAACAATTCCAAATTCATTTTTTTGTTTTTGTTTACGCTTATGGCAGTGTGACCGCAGATTTATCGATAAAATATTCATGCCTGCTTCTCACCAAAATGCTTTCACATTTTCAAAATATACCCTAAGCAGTTTACAGTTGTTCATTGATCTATATATAGGTGTTTATTTGTATCTGAAATTTGTTCTATGACGTAGTATTAACAATATGTCTTTATTTGTTCATTATAAACTGTGTGGTTTGCCTTGCAGCAGCATAGAGGTGGAGAACTATCGTTGGCACTATCGATGGTTTGACACTATCGACCTAGCTCACTATCGATGGCTTAAAGTCTCGATATTGGTCGATAATATCACGATATCACCCTTCCGCCCATGCAAGAAAGCGAAAACCTCACAAAGCTACAATTTTGAAGATAAAGACAAAGAATGACCATATCTATCAGATCACCGAAGGTTTCGGGTTTGATCAAAGATACTTTTGAAAGCAAAGAAACTTCTCATTATTGTTGGTGATTGGTTAAAATGATTTTATTGGCTTATTTGAAAATATAAATAAACTTTTAGTCCCGAACGGCAGGGTTCCAATAGTTCGAATTGTTCAAAATATGTGTGGCCGGTCGAGGATTACTTGTAATTTCTAAAAGTATATTTTTATTAATTACTAATTTCATTCGATATTTGTGTACGAAAAACATTAAACAGATATATATATATATTTTAGCGTGGCCCAGCATATGCAATGAATAAACTTTAAATATGGAACTAGAATTGAACGCAAAAACAAAGAAAACTAAACAGAACGATAAGCAGTAAATATAAATTTAAACAGAAAGCGCGGGTTTGGAAAAGCATTGGCGCGGCGGCGTTGGGTACACTTGAATGGGATGGGTGATATTTTGAGTCGGCCAGAAGGGATGGGTTGGCTAAGGCGCTCGTGATTAAGCTTAAACTAACATTGTGCCTTAGAATGATAGTCCGCTGGTGGGTTAGGAGATGATTAAACAAACATCTTCTCCAGCATTTTCCTAAGTTTTTCTTGGGCATAGCGTATCTTTTGATATAAATCTTTGGACACACCGTTCTCCACGATGGTCGAGAAGCGATATGTGCGGAAGTTCTTCTCGTGATCCATGTATGTAATGGCACTCATACGCGGACAGAGAATGAGCTTCATGTGATCCGAGAAGTTAAGCTGAAAGCGGAAATAGGTTTTGTTAATCTCTATAAGTCTGAGGAAGCATTCACTATGTTAGTTTAGTTACCTGCACGGAACCGTTGGTCAGATGCATAACAACAGCACACGTTGTGCGGAACCAAGAGTGTAAATGGGGCATACGCGATATCTGATCACCCTCAATGTTCACATTATTGGCTCCAGCCTTCACGAGATGCTCGATCATGTATCGCTTGAAGTAGGAGAGCAGCTTCATCTTTTTATCCAGCGACTTGCAGTAATCTGTCGTAGTCATGTAGCTCTCCTTCCCGTCCTTGTCTATGAAGTGAACGTTGATCTGGTTCGGCAGCAGAATCAATTTGGTTGTGTCGTTGAACATGACGCCAATGCCCTCATCACAGAGCTGATAACCGAAGCCGTATTTGTCGCTGTAGTCCACCCACTTGGATATCCAGAAGAGCGGCTGTGCTGCTGGATCAGTGTTCTCATCCCCGAGATTGCCTTGCAGTATGCGCGGCTGTAAGCACGAGATGGATGATTGGTGATTATTTCAAACAGACTCTCATTGGAAATAAATTACCTTATTATTGATTAGATTGGTGAGCTGCTGGTGCAAGCTCTCAATGTCACTGCGGTAGTCTTCGTTGTGGCGACACACCTGGGCCGAGGCAGTGATGGCGTCGTGTAAGTTGGCCTTGAGGAATGTCGACTCCAGACGGGTATCATCTCTAATGCCGTTCATCTCCATGAGCGGCTTGCGATGAATGGAATCTTCAATGATGTCGTTCTGACCAATGCGCGGAGCCATCGTAAGGCAAGAGCTTGGCAAGAACGTTGGCACCTTAGAGCCCTTCAGGAATTCGTAGTTCAGCAGCTGGCCAATTGCTGGGCGGCTCTCGGGGTTCGGCTGCAGCATGGAAATAACCATATCCGCAGCTGGTTTTCTCAAGAAGCTCGGCACGCGGTACTCGCACTTCTTGATCTTGGAGTAAGTGTCCTTTAGCGTTTTGGTCTCAAAAGGAGGTTGGCCCACCAACAGCGTGTACATGACGCAACCAATGGACCATATGTCCACTTCGAACGAATGCCCCTTTTTGGTGAGGATCTCTGGCGCAATATAGTTGGGGGTGCCGCACAGAGTCTTCTTCCGTTCGCCCTCATATTCGATTCGGGTGGCTAGCCCAAAGTCGCCAATCTTCACGTGCAGCATGTCGTTCAAGAACAGGTTTCCCAGCTTCAAGTCTCGATGGATAATTCGGTTGTCGTGCAGGTACTTGACGCCCTGGATGATCTGGAAAATGTAGTAGCGGCACTCGAAGTCCGTGATGCTTTTCCGGCGTTTGTGCAGCTCCATCATCGACTGATTGGCAAAAAGTCGGGACAAGATCCATTAGTACGGAAGAACGCATGCTGCCATTTCGGCGTGCACTTACCCGCTTCTTGCATAGCTCCAGGACAATGTAAATGTTCTGGACATCTTCGAAATAGCTATGGAACTTCACTATATTAGGATGATTTAGGCTACGATGAATGGTGATCTCCTGAGCAGTCTTTTCCTTCTGGTTGTGCTTGATCATCAGCTTCTTTGATACAATTTTGCCGGCAAAAACATCGTCGGTCTCCACATCGATGATTTCGTAGCACTTGGCAAAGCCGCCCTGCACAAGCAATTCCAAAATATCTCATTATAGTCACAATTTTCACCATAAAAATATAAATTGAATGCGTCGCGCCAAAAAATAAATATAATCTACATATGTATGTACGTATGTAGCTGCCGTCACTTCTTTGACAACTCTAACATGCACACACACACACGCACACATTTTACGGATCGTGGAAGGGTGCCAAAGGAAACAAGCGAAAATAGATGTAAATGGCATGCTTGTATTGGTCTGCATGCCCTTACATACATATGTACATATGCATAGCGCAGTGAGGCTGCGCGGAGTTATTAAAATGTGCACGCGGATCACCTGGAACATTGTTATCCGCATCTTGGGCAAGCCTT